CGTAAAGAACAGTTATGACGCAAACAGGCACTGAATAGGACTTCCCTGGTAGTGGCTGCATACGCGTGTTCATGTGAGAGCATTTGGAGAGCGAGAGCGGACTCTCCGCACCCTAGACTGTACCAGGGCATTCGGGGGCCTGTATGTTAGATTCTTTTTAGTGCAGACAGAATTCTATCGACTACGTTTCATTGTAGCCACTAACTTAGGTGACTCGACATTGCGTGCGCTATGTTGAGATAGTTAGAGGTAGTCTATAGAACCTGAAAAATATGACATTGGTGAGCAGCCAGTGATCAATCAATTGTAAAGACATCTCAGTCCTTCAGGAGGTCAACCGCGGCTCGGACACCTCACTGTTGACATCTCTGATTGTGAATCTGGGTGACACAGTTTGGGGATGATGTGGTCTGTTTAGGCTGTTATTGGCGTTCTGAACTCAACTGGACGGGCTAGGTGAACAAAGGATCAATAATGATGATAGGCTACTCATACCAGTCGAACGTCATTAGTTATGGCACAGTAATTAGATTGTATAAGTCATATTTCGATTGGAGAATATATCACATGATAACTAGTAGGACTTAAAATCAGAGCAGAAACATTTTTATTCGTGGATGAATAAACAGTTTACGTCTATAAATAACCTTCACACAGTAATAGTAATATAATATACCCTTTTGGGCCAGGGTAATTTAACATTGGTTTTCAGGAGAACCAGACACCATCCGAACTTTCACGTAAAAACCAAAACAGTACAGCTCAACCCTGTTTAGCAGGGGAACCAGACACCGTACAGGCTTTAACGCTACAATCTGAATAGTGCAGCTCAATCCCGTGGCGCAACCAAACAGTTACAAGAACCCTGGTGGAACCTTGGTTAATGTAAATCGTTAGAAACAATAAATAATACTTCTCCAACTTCATCTTGACGACTAATTAATAGTTGAATTCAATTATTAAAATTACTACAATCTTCTCAAACTATCATTCTGATAGTAATTATCATGTGCTCATTAGTGACTGGATGCAAGATGATTTCCTGGAATTGTAATGAAAAGTAGATTCCAGTGGAGTCTAATCCGTGTCGAGTAGAGATAGGTATCTACCTGAAACAATGGATGAATGGTTGAGCAACCAATCATGGGACAATTGAAGTGAGATATTAATACCGTTGGATGCTGATCTAGAAGTTATCTAGAGGTTAAGCGTTATCGAAGGTCATATGTTCGAGTCCCGCATGACGGATCGTGGGTGTTAACTACTCAAAACTCCTATATCAGGATGAAACAACCGTTTAGTGCTTCCAGGCTTTTCATAGTGGTCTAGCTTACATCGACTCATGATCTCAACTATTGAAATTACTACAATATCCACAAAACTCCTCTCTCATTAAAATGTTTTTTTACAATAATCAAAAGTCATTAAAGGTGATAGAGGTGTAAAAAGTAGATAAAGTGATATGATGAGCAATTATGAATAAAATAATGAGAATATGAGAGATAAGTAAAGGGAGATATGCGGTAATAATAACAATAATAATAACAAGAAAGGCCTAAGTATCAATAATGATAAGATGTACTTCTTTTATATTCATAGTTCTGGCTTGAGCTCATGGATGGCGAGAGGTTCGGCTATTTTCAGGAGTTCGATACGAAGAAATCTAGGTAGATTTGAACGAATCGTATATATAACCATGAATTCAAACTGTGAATTAGTACAAGGATTGCAGTCAATTAGATGACCAATTATAGAACTCCTAACTGCTTTCTTCTCACACTTGTAGAACCAAACTGTGACATGTTCTTGTATTCGAGTTGAAAGCGAGTGTTGTCTACGGTAAATGTATCTTGCTCCAGAAGAGCGGATGAACTGGTAGATACACATGGAGGCGACTAGACGAGAAGGTGAGCTTATCTTTTATGGATATAGAAAACAAGTTTCTACTAATGAACGTTACCCTCAGTTTTGGCGAATTAAATGTTCTATTCATCGCTATCGTTAAACAGTTTTTGATTACGTCATATGTTCCATCACCTTTAAATTTTTCTTTAATTTTCTCGACTTATACTTTGAAGCTTTTACAGTTGAATTCAATAAGAACAAAACTAACCGAGATCTCAGTTCATAACTACTTGGAAAACAATTGTCAGGATACACAAATGAACTAAACTTATTCAGTAGAAATCTATGAATCTATATTTCCTAACATTTTAAGTGATCCTTAAGTAATTATTTAACTTTTGACTAGATGACTTCAGTGTTTATTCATATTTATTAACTATCCACAAAACTAAATTCAAATGAAGACAATTCAGAACTTAGTTATAAATTGACTTGATATTGTTTACTTGAATCTTCTTATTGATGTTTAGGATTGAAAATGACTAGTCTCTTATTGATATATGTGTATTGCCTAGATATTGCCTCAAGTCTCAAGATTTATAAGTAAACATGGGTTCGAATCTTGGCTATTGAGTTATAAACAGGAGTATAATTGCTTCCTCGATTCCACTACTAGCCACTATTCATCTTTGAACTTAGTTACGATATAATTACTTATGATATAAATCAAGTGTTCAGCAAAATCTTTATGATTACTTATCTTTGCAATTGTTCTATTGCCTTTTTCATACGGATTTGTTCTCTGAGTTGTATAGTTTGCTCATGAAGCTATCATCGTTCTTCTCAATGACATCATCAGTACTTCTACTTGACGTTTGTACTGATGATATTGTTCAGAAGAACGATGAAAACTTCATGAGCGAACTATACAACTCAGAGAATAAAACTCCATCAAATCATTCACCTGAGCTACAAATATTCTCCAACATCTCATAATTCTATCACCTCACTGAAAAATTATTCTTATAATTTTAGCCTACTTATAAGTAGTATAAAATGGTACTTAAAAGTTTACAGCTAAGATCTTCCATTCTTCATCATAATAAATATTAAATGATATCTTAATATAATCAAACAATTAATTAACAATCAATTAACACACTAAATATGACATTTTATTATTTCTTCCTAATTATTCAATGATAATTACTAACTGTTCAATTATGTTTAATATTTGTTATCATTAAAAGAAGATGTTTAGATTACTTGACATGAATGGATAATGAATAATAGTCGTTGAGAAGAAGGAGAGGGAGAAGAGGAAGAAGAAGAAGAAGAAGAATTATCATGTCAAATCTTTCAATAGAGTAGATTATATTAATGAATTAGTGTAGAATTAAAAGAAATATGTCAGTAATTAGTAAGACCAAGATGGATTCCATTGATAAAACATTTCATTATGAAAGAAAGAATACAAAGATAAATGACACCATTGTTCATTCTTATGAAATATCATCTAATTAGAATAAACACTTAAAATCACTAAATGAATCTAAAAAGGGAAATAAAAACAATTACCATATTCTTATTTATTCATATAAGTAAATGGAAATAAATGTCTATTTAAGTTTATATAAACAGAATAAACAATATACTACTCATTAACTTTAGGTATATAAATGTAGTTTTATGTAATAGATTTCAAATCATTTAGAAATAAGATGATGTATAGGTAAGTTCTATATGAAGTATTTCATATTTATTCTATTTTATTACTTACTTACTTATTTACGCTTGTTACTCGTCGTGAAGGAGCATAGGCCATTCACCACCATCGTCCATCCAACCTTGTCTTGCGTAGTCTTTTCCAGCTCCTTCCAATTGTTATTCATTCTTTTCATATCTGACTCTATTTTCCGACGTAATGTGTTTTTTGACCTTCCATTTTTCTGCTTTCCTTCAGGATTCCAATTTAGGGCTTGCCTCGTGATGCGGTTTGATGATTTAAGTAATGTATTTCCTATCCATTTCCATCGTCTTTTCCTAATTTCTTCTTCAGCTGGAAGCTATTTTGTTCTCTGCCACAGTAGACTGTTGCTGATGTTATCCAGCCAATGAGTGTTGAGTATTTTGCGTAGACAACTATTTATAAATATTTGTACCTTCTTGATGATGGTTGTAGTGGTTGTCCAAGTTTCAGCTCCGTATAATAATTTTTAGTATCAACGATCATACATATAAACATTGATCAGCAAAATTCATTTCTTAGATCCATGATTTATATATGAGTTCGTTTTATGATCGTTCATTAAGATTTTACAGATTACTATTAGTCATTAGTTTTCAATTCACAATAATGTATAATCAAATTCTCAGTAACATTGATGGGTAACTCCTTTACAACCACTACCAGTGAATTTCTACTGACTATCTTCTTGTGGTATCACTGTTGTTTATAACATCAAGAGGATGAAAAGCGAATGTCCAGCGCTTTAACCAGCTTGATAAACATGAAACATCCACTTATAAAAGTTGAAAACCCTAGTTGTAAACCAATGATGTTCATGCATTGCAGGATTCTGTGTGAACAAATGGTGTATAAATCAATTATTTTTCACCGACTACCATGAGACTTCATCTCCTAATGTTGCTTCATTGTCTTGTGGATCAAACCTTTAGGTTCAAGGCTCCGGATGTGGTTCCCTAAGTAAACCACCTATTTATGTATTCAAATAAATAAATAATTAATTAATATCAGTAAGGGTTTTTTGGATATAATAGTAATTTCACTAGATAAGATCATGAGTCAGTTGAAACTAGACCACCATGGAAGCACTTGACGGCCGTTTCTTCCTATTGTGGGATTCCTCAGTAGTGTGCATTCACGACCTCGCCCCCTGCGACATTCGAACCCATAACCTACTGGTTTCGCACACGAGCACTTAACCACTAATTAATTTTAAAAAAAAACATGATCAAATGAAGTAACAATCTTTTTAAAAAGAAAAATTATTTTTATTTATTGAAATAAATCATAATGCATCATAGTTATTTAGTTCCTAATTCGAATTTCTCCTCATCTCCACCCCCTTCTTCTCTCTTTCCCCGTCCACCACCCATATAGTTCATATAGTTCAATACCTGATATTAATGTAATGAAGGCAAAACATTTGGAACAACAATCAATATCTCATTTAAATATAATCAATAATAAACATTTGCATCATAATAGTATCCAAGGCATGAATTCAAATGAACAAAATATTATTCATCACTTAGATACTACTACTACAACTACTACAACTACAATATTACCATTATGTAATTCACGTAAATCATCTAAATTATATTCATTTAATGAAAATATAAATAATTATGAATTAAGTCTTAATGAAGCACAATTATTAACAGAAGAAACATTAAAAAAATTAAATCAAATGAAATATAAAATGAAATCATCACATAGAATTTATTGTTGTTGCCATGGTAACAATTATCATAGAAAATGTAGAAATAATAAAATAAATCCAGAAGAAAATTTAATACATTTAACAAATCGTGATGAATTATTAGAGAATCCATATCTTATATTTAATGTAAGTTTATTATTTATCTTTTTAATTGAAATCATGAATCAATTGAAGTTAGACTACTATGGAAAATCTGGAAGTACTGGATGGACGTTTTAGTTCTAGTATGGGACTCCTCAGCAGTGTGCATCTAGGATCCCTTAGTCCACGAGATTCCAAAACAGGACTTATCAGTCTTGCATCAAGCGTTTAATCAAGTAATGTCTAACCTCAACCAATCCACAAAACTGCTCGACCATCTTCCATTGCACTGATGTAGACACCTGTTTCTACCCGACATGGATTAGTTCCACTGGTCACGGCTTCTCACCAGAACTCTGAAAATTTTTTCACGAAGCTAGTCACTAGTGAGCACATGGTAATTATCAGTTAAGGGGTTGTGGAGATTGTTAAGTTTTTGATTGAAATCATGAGTCAGTTGAAGTTAGACCACCATAGAAAGTCCGGAAGTACTGGATGAACGTTTCGTCCTAATATGGGACTCCTCTGCAATGCACATCTACGACCTTGCACTCCGCGAAATTCGAAAGCAGGACCTGTCAGTTTCACACCAGGCGCTTAAACAACCTGAACACTGAGCCGGCATCCATTGGCGTTTATGTCTAACCTTAACCAATCCATTATTTTTATATGTAATTAGTGATAGTGAATGTATAAAGATGTTTTATAGATGAATTCAAGGAAGCTCTAAGAAGGTTAGAAAGAGCTAAAGATATTCTATTCAGTCTATATATATAGGGAATTTTCGAGAAACTACATATAGAGATTTTGGAAAGATGATTATTGGATAGAGTGTTTTTGGATCTTTTTAAACTTCTTAGAGCTTAGTTGAATTCACTTGTGGATCACAATTGATTGAGGTAGTGACCAATGTCATGCGTGTCTAGTCCTTATTATTAGGGCAGATCGAATGCTATCGACCATGATACAATGTGGCCACCAGTCTAGGTGACTCGACACTGCGTGCACTATTTTGAGATTATATGGTGTTTGGTCGCGGCCCGGATAGCTAGGTGGTAACGTCTCTGACTGTGAAGCTGGGTGACACGGGATCGAATCCGTCAGGGAGCACCAAGTCCCTTAACATTACAGGTACACATTGCTGACGAGTGTCAATTAGTGTGAAACCCCGGTCCAGCCGACTACCTCCAACCACCATCTAATCCCACTTGTGGATCGTTCTCATAGAATGAAACATTGATAAGTTTTCTATTGAATTCAGACATTATTGTAAGTTGATCACTAAAGTAAGCACAAAGTAGTTAATAAAATTTTTAATATTCAATAGGATTCCATAAACTTTCAATGTTTAGTCAGTCAATAACTGGATTATTGAAATTCCTTTTATGTTTATAATTGTTATAATCAGAATGGGTTTTGTAGAGATTTTAGAAATTTCACAGATTGAAATCATGAGTCAGTTGAAGCTAGACCACTATTGAAAACCTGGAAGCACTGAACGGCCGTTTCATCCTAGTATGGGACTCTTCAGCAGTGCGCATTCACGATCCCGTTGATAATAATGAATAGTAACTGGTTGAATCTATTTCAGGACTAATACTATACGTATGCACATTCATATTCCTCATATTATAAGCTTTATTTTGACCTATGAACTATTATTATTACTATACGATCGACCGTTCTTGAGTTATGCTCAATTCATCAATTATTATCTGTTATATTCACATCCACTTTTGGCTAAATCGTATACAAATGTTGTTTTCTAATTTATAGTAAGATATATGATTCATTTTGCGGAGGTTCTGATTGATATTCTGCACTCAATGGACAGGTAGAGTTAGGCAAGAAGAAGGACCGATAAGGAGTTTAGACTGGTCGTACAGGTTTATGCGTTATTGGTTCGGTAGATAAATCACTGTTCTCTAATTGATGGTATCATTACGTTATATATATATTAATAGGGTACAAGTTATAACAATAACATCAACGATATGTAATGTAGTCTAGATTTGGCATTAGAAATGGACAGATTAAGTTTAAGTCACCAAATAATATACATACCTAATAGAATTTTGATAGACTTTTGTTCTCTGAGCTGGGTGGTTTGGTCGTGGAGCTTTCATCGTTCTTCTGAACGACATCATTTTAAAATCATATGAGTGTAATACGCTTCTCGTTGTTCGAAAATGGGGGAATTTTGCCAAAAGGCAGGCTTGCACTCCAGAACAATTATATTTTCTCCATGAGTGTCTTCGCCAGCATGTTCTACCAACAAGTGTAAGACCTCCAATCAACTGCCCATTAGGATGGAAAATAGCTGAGTAAACTGGGGAAAAAAAGGTACACCTTATGATAACGGATACACACTACAGGATCCACAAATACCAACACATTATAGAGGACCAAAAGATGAAGCTACAAAGGACACTGACGTCAGAACACTTAGAAATCATCCACCTGAGCTACAAATCTTCTCTACCATACCTAATATAATCCTATTCTATATGGTTTTATGCATAGTCATATGGGATATGTACAATTAAAGATGTTTGAAAGGTTATTTATGATACTGGAAATTCTCTTATACAAACTATAAGTGAATGTTATCAATTTGCATTGATCTAATCTTTCGATCTTAGCTTAAGATTTAGGCAAGACAATCATTGATGAATGAATCAATCAGATTGAGGATGCCAGATCTTGGATTTTGGCGTGAAACTCACTCATATTCATTTAACTAAATTGAATTTTGACATTATAGCTGATTTCAATTCATGATGAAAACCTGAAATCTAATCTCACAAACAGGTTTATAATTCACATTTGGTCCTAGTTATTAAATGGAAACTCTGAAAATCAGTCTAGTGTCGTCCAAAGGTTGTTCATAAATTATAGTCTCACCCTGAAACTACTATGAGCCATGACCTCCACCTCAAGGTAGCACGTTCAATTTAAATTTTATATCAGAAGGGGTTTTGTGGATATTGTAGTAAATGTAGTGATTAAGATCATGAGTCAGTTGAAGCTAGACCACCATGGAAAACCTGGAGGCACTGGACAGCTGTTTTGTCCTATTGTGGGACTCCTCAACAGTGAGCATTCATGATAGTCAATAATAATCCTCATTCATAAGTATGTAAACTAGATCATCATTGATTTGCCTACTATGTAGACTACATTAAAGATATTGTATTTGTAGCTCTAGTAGTTTACCTGGGAAAAGTCTATTGAATACCATTCAAATTAGCACGATTTATGTTTTTACGATTAGTTGACAAGATCAATCCCTTCAATGGAACATTCAATTATACAGATGATTTTCTCAGAACAATTCATTGTCATATCTCTTCATATTCAGTTTACTGATTTGACAAGTATTTCTGGGTACAAACATTCAGTACATGATTGTCTAGGACAATTTATAAACATTAATTTGAATAATTATGTCATTAAATTGCCCTGTGTTTATCTTTTCAATGAAATAGTTTTGGTTAGGTCATTTTCAAATGTAGAGGGGAGCACTAAACATTCATTATGGTCTACTGAAGAGTATTACACTAAAACGAAACGATTGTTCATCTTCCCATGACTTTAAATGCTGTCGGAGTCTAGTCTGGCAACAAATACCCTTGTAGTGATTGAGAACACGTAATTGGAGACAATCGAATGTACGTGAACATACAATTACAGAACAACTTGGTAAAATCTGAGAATCATATAGTAAATACTTCCTTTTGCAAAATGACAATCAATCGTCTCGGACTTCATTGTTCTTTCGTTTCTACACCAATCAATCTTTGTTCTCGTTCTCTTTTTTGTTGTTGAGCTTCTTAACCTTCTGCCACTAGGTATTTCACTTTCGATTGATGATAAATACTACTTATATCTGTCGATATCAGTAGCATATACCACACCCTATATATATGGAAATGTATTTATATATGTATGAACTGAATTATATTATAAATAAAAATAATATATTTGTAATATCCCAATGAGTAGAAAATTGGATTTTCTGACGTTTCGTGACTTAGTGTAAGTCACTTCTTCAGAGAACAAATAACCAAATTATATTATAATGATAATTCTTATCTTCTTTCTTTCTTTTTTTTAATCAAGTATGTTAAAGCAAATGAAACAGAAAGACTCACTGAAATTTTAGCTTACAATCCATTAATAATAAATCAATGTGACTCAAATCAACGTACTTTACTTCATTATGCTGCAATGAAAGGTTATTTGGATTGTGCAAGTGTTTTAGTGGCACATAAAGCAAGTAAGTGTAATAATTATGTAATACATTACTTTACACAAGTACTAATTGGATAACGATGAGACTATCATTTATAGAGGATTATTGAATGATGACATCATAGTGGTTTTGAGATTGTCCAACAACTGATTAGAGAGAGATATGTGAGGGTTTTAAACCAGTATGAATGATAACGATTGTGATTTACATTTGATGGTTAAGGTTAGAAATTAGATTTCTTGTTTTCATCATGAACTGATATAAGTTATAATGACAAGAAGTTACTTAGACAAATGGATGAATTCATTTCGCGCCGAAATCCAATCTGATTGGTTCGTCCATAAATTATAGTCTCCCCTTGGACAACTTACAGATAACAAAAGAAAAAACTGTTATCTGTTAGTGATCTCCAAACAATCATTGTCGTTAATTGGTCATTATCAAAGTACACTCTAAACTACGTTTTAGTGATCTTTATTAAAACTTAAAGTAATCCGACTGTAAGTTATATAATTCAACTGGTAATTGATATTCAAAAGTCGAATTTCAGTGAGAATAGCTTCATTGTTGTGCTGATAATAATAAAAACATACAGTCATACAATTTACGAGAATCTTTTGTAATCACTTTAAAGTTGACCCCTATGATGCTGAAGGTCTTATATGAGATCGAAGGTTCACCATTGATATTGTGGATGGTTCGTCATTACTTTGGCAAGTATTGCTGATTGTTCATGCACAAAATTGGTTTGCTGTTTAACCGATTTCATTCATAATGGTGGTTGCTTTTCAGTGTACTCAAGGACCATTGTCATTGGGACATTTTAATACATGACACCATTGCTAACATTAATCAGTTTGACTATCGTGTAAGTGGAATTGGTCACTTTCGGCCTATTCATGCTGTGCATAAGGGATTTAAGCGATCGATGATCAGAATAATTACATGTGTGGTGTAAATATGTATATGAATGGTGCGAATAGTGAACCAGGGTTCTTGTTACCTGTGTGGTTGCACCACACGATTGGGCTGTACTCTTCAGATTGCAGCGTTAAAGCCTATATGGTTTCTGGTTCTCCTGTGAAGCAGGATTGAGCTGTACTGTTTGGGTTGTCACATGAAAGTCTGGATAGTGTCCGGTTCTTCTGAAAACCAATGAAAAACTGCCTTGGCCCACAAAGGTATATTACACATATTGTCTATGAAGAAATAGACGGATCTAACCAAAAGTTTATTAGTGGAACGTCAAAACATTTTGTCAAGAATTTCAATATCTTTTAAACTCTTATTAGTTTCTTTATGTTAGATAGAGAGTTCATGACTTCAGCATTCATTTCAGTCATGAGATTTCTATCTTCTTGATGTTTACGATAATGTTCCTGATTAGAATTGACCTGGCATAATCGAATCATATTCATATTTAGGTGGTGTATATACGCAGTGCTGATATCATTATACTTGTAAACCATGTCAACGACTATGGGTGTAGTAGTCAGAGCATTGTCGTTTATCCAGTGTATTACGAGTTTTATGATTTCTTCTAAAGGCAGTTCAAATAATTCGTATTACTTCATTTTTGTGTTGGTTGTATGAATCTTCGCATTGAAGTTTAGAACTGTAATTGAATTGATCAGTCTCTTATTGGTATATGTGAATCCTGTTCGGATTGCCTCAATATTACAAACAATCAATACAAAAATGTATTAAACTATAACCCATTGTACAAATAAGTGGCTATTAGGGATTCAGTAGGTAAATGGATACCGTAATGTCGGTATTGGGTTAGAGTTCCAGAGTGAACATCAACTCTGAGATTTTGATACATCTGGCTGATGAGTCCTAAATAGGATTAAACGCGCGTTCTGGATTTCACTACTAGCCACTATACACCTTTGCTTATAATGCTTGTTCCTGAAGACAATATTGAGGCAATACACACAGGATGCGCATATGCCTACAAGAGACTGATCAGTTGTAGTCCCTAAAAACAATGGGAAGATGTAATCAAATAATACCAAGTGAATTATTTATTTCAATAATTGAGATCATGAGTCAATTGAAGCTAGACGACCATGGAAAAAACTGGAAGTACTAGTCGGCTGTTTCGTCTTATTGTGGGACTCGTCAGAAATGTGCATCCATGATCCCACTTCACAATTTCCGAACCCAAGGATTACCGGTCTCGCTGAAGAACGCTTAATCCCTAGACCACTGATCTGGTCGGTATCCAATGGTGTTAATGTCTAACTCTAATTAATCTCCTAAATTGAACGACATATCCATCATTGTCTTCATTAAGTTACTATCTCACAACAGATTCGGATAAACTACTTATCACAGTCATTTGATCTATTTGTCAATATTTACTCTCTGTATGTTTTTTTTATAAAAAAAACTTCTTTTATTTAAATAGAGATTAATGAACCAGATCAATATGGTAATCTTCCAATACATTTAGCTGTTAAAGAAGGACATTTACTTGTAGTACGTTATCTATTAAGTATTAATGCTGATTCAACTAAACCAAATAAAGATGGCCTATTACCAATCCATATAGCATGTGAAAAAAATTATTACGGTATATTAAAGGTAAATTATTCAGAATATCTATGTACGTAAGTGTGTGTGTGTGTGTATTCGGGGATTGGGGGTTGTTGATAATTAGCGTTAGGCTTCTAAAAATTCTCTGGTGCTTTTGGAGTTTCATCTATCTAAGATTTCCACATTTTTTCCAATCGAATGAATGTCCACAGTTGTTCACGTGTATTGATATAAGTGAAGAGATATCATGCCGTTTGACTGCTAATTGATGTTCATGTAGGCTCAGGTGAAGGAGGCGTCCGCTATGTCCGATGTAGTGTTTTTTTGCAAGTGTAAGTGTATGATAATTGATGTTACATCTTTACTTAGCTATCGTCATTTGGAATGTTCTAACCAAATCAACTTTCTTTCTGAAATATGTAACTCATATGTTTCGTTAAAATTTCACATGTAGATTCATTCTAGAATCATAATGTTCATGTGAACTATTTCGTCAATCTTTATGTTTGAATGATAATGGTCTTGACATAACTAAATGACAAGGTTATGAACTTAGTATTTTCTGTATTGAACAGTTTAATTGTGGATTATTCATTCTCTATCTGGCTAATCTATAAGATCTTACATGGAATTCACATCATTGTCTACACTAACTCATCGTATCGGAACACATTCAGGCTGGAGATAATACGATATAATTAATATAAGTAAAAACAGGTTATAAAGAATGACCACGCCTGTAAAGATCAATCATGCCATCCGACTGAATTAAGTTTTCCCTCTTTCATCATTGTTGAATTTTTCTCCGCGCTAAATGTTGAGTATCTATTATTTTCAGTTGCTTTATGTTTAGCTATGAGGATTATGTGGTTAAGGTCTAATAGCACTATAAATGTTCTTGGAATAGCTACTAAACCGATCAATAAATCGAAAGGGCAGTTGTGCAGTATAGAACTAATCTTGATGGAATTGATAAGTAAAAGGAATCAATAACTACTAAAGAAACAAAAGATAAACAAGAAATGAAAACGATATAAGTTAGATATAAATGAGATGAGATGATCATGGAATATTCAATTAATAGTTCTTGGAAAATCTTCTAGACTTCTTTGAAATGCTATCATCGATTTGTTGAAGGTCAGTGGGATTACTTAAAAGAATTAAGGCTAGACCACCATAGAAAACCTGGAAGCACTGAACGTCCATTTCGTCCTAGTATGGGACTCCTCAGTTGTCTAGAGGTTACGTGTTCCCGCGCGAGACCAACAGATCTTGAGTTAGAATCTCGTGAGCGATATCGTGGATGTGTCATGCTTAACAGTCTCGTACTAAGATGAAACGGCTGTTTAGTGCCTCCAGATTTTCTCTGGTGGTCTAGCCTTAATTGACTTATGAATTCAATTATAAAATTATAGAGAGATGACTTTGTCTGAACATAAACCTTTGAAATCACAGAATTGACATATCACTTGGTGTGTTCATTGTATTCTTATGCCTTAAAATGAGTAATTACCATGGATTTTGTTAAAGTTTACAATGACAGTTTTCCGAACTATTGTCATGTATACTACTTATACTCACAGATATAAGTAGTATGTATTAGGAGTTGGAAGTAAAACGCTTACCAACAGAAGATTGAAATAAACAGAAGGGGGAGAAAAACAGACAAAAATCGGAACAACAACCACAGGATTGGAAGAATGATGAAGCGTGTAAACGTTAATTCAAGGAAAATATGCAAATAATGTTTTCAAAATATGAGAATCATATTTTACAAAGTCACTGTGCAATTTCTGCATTGAGTAGTATATTGGTTTAACGTATCCGAGTATACGTCCACTACACTATTATCTATGTTGAAATCATTCATATGAGATCGGTGTTAGACCACCATTGGAAATCTGAGAGCACTGAACGGTCATTTCTTTCCAGCATTGTTCATCCACGATCCCACACTCATAAATCGAACCCAGGACCTTCAGTCTTACGTGCGAACACTTAACTTCTATACTACTGAGTTGACATCTAACGTTGTTACTATCTAACTTCCATCGAGCCTTGTATGGCTACACAACCATTCATTCATTGTTTGAGGTAGATACCTATCTCTATTCGACACAGATTGAACTCTACTAGTCACGGTTTATCACTAGAACTTCAAGAAAACATCCTGGAGTTAGTCAGTAGTGAGCATTTTTGACAATACAATTGGAATCTAATGAATAACAACTGGATGAATATACTACTTTAGAAATTGGTTATAAATAAAATTATAGCATCACTATAATCTAATGATAAAAAATAAGTGATTTATTATTTTTTTTTAAGGCATTATTAGAATTGGATAATGTTAATGTAAATGCAGAAGGTGAACGAGGAGCATCACCATTACATTATTGTTGTATTCATGATAGTGTAGAATGTATGGAGATACTTGTGAGTTCAAGACCTTTGTTGTTGTTGTTGTTATTTTGTCAAGCAAATTCACTTCGATCATTCAGAACAACATAAATACTTACTAAATCAAAATCATACCATTTTGATAATGAAACTAAGTGTGAGAGAAACTAATATTTTTTTCTGAACTCAATGAGTAGAAATAATAGATTTTCTGACGTTTCGTGACTCAGTGTAAGCCACTTCTTCAGAGAATAAATAATCAAATCGGAATCAATCCAAATGACATGTATGTAAGTTTGTATGTGTGTCTGTGTGTGTATGTTCGCAGAGTCAGCGATGAAGCAATATGTGATCTTTGTATTGAGAAAGGATAGAGTTTAATTTGTATGTACGATAAAAGTGTGAAATGTGAATAGAATCAGACAATATAAGCATGGATAGATAGTCCAAATCAAATGAATAAAAAGGCCTTCTTTTCTAATGAAAGCAGTATGATTAAGCATTATATGGATCACTTCAGTTATTCTTCATTCTTTGTAGTTGGAAATGTCTTTTTGTATTAGTTTGATGTTTTTGATAGTGATTTAGTGGTTGTTGACAATGATGTGAACTAATATCGCCAATTTAATCTGAAGTCTATCCAGTTTTACAAAATTATTAAGTAGTTTCTTTGTGTACCTAAGATTTCACGAGATGTCTTTCCAATATAGAAGGGATTACAGTCGACATATCGTAATTTGTAGACACAGTACTGTGTTGACATAAGCGAAGTAAAGTATTTCGGCTGGGTGTTCGTTGTTTTGTAATAAATTATCCTTTAGTTGAAGAATCGCCATAGATCGGGTCGAATACGATAGACATCAATATTGCTGTTTATAAAGATTGAAACCTGATGAGGATCTAATCGAAAATGAGAATTGAATCTCCAATCAAATTTCACCATTTAGCACATTATGAAGACCTTTATTACTAACGTTTTTTAGCCTGAACAACACACAACTTGTCACTATACTACTCTTATATTATTTTTACTGCAATATAAATTATTCAATTCTAACACAGAATACTTTAGCTCTTATACATTTAGTGTAGTGAATGAGAACACAATTGGAGGGATAATCGAATGTATTTGAACACACAATTACAGAAGATCTTATACAGTAGATACTTCATTTGAGAGATATCAATCAATCATCTCAGAATTCATCGATTTCTTTGTTCCTATTCTTTTCTCTTCGATCTTCTTACCATTCTGTTGCCAAGTATTTCAATTTCGATAGATGATATATACTACTTATATCAATCGATATCAGTAGCACACACCATATTAGTACCAATTTTCTGAAATCAGGAAACAATATTGATTAGATGCAACTTTTAATAGGTTACCTTTAAGATTCTTTCAATAAAACTGAATATTATCATATTCATTATTATGATTATGCATTGTTTATTATTCTTTATAGTTGAGCAAAGGGGCTAATATATTCTCATATGATTTAGAGCATACCTATCCGGTACATGTTGCTATAGCTAATGTTAGTCGTAAATGTTTAAATTTATTATTTAAAATGGAAGCTTATTTACAACGGAACAATTTCAATCGATCAATAGAATCACATGAAATGAAATCATCAATCACTATGGCAACACAACGTACCGATGTATTACGTAATAATGATAATCACATAGTGAAATATGATTTAGAAAATCAAATTCAATTCAATCAATCTGATATTAAAAAGAAATCAATCGATTTAAATCAATCTGATTATCAAAGAAATCAACAAGAGAATTGTTTAATTGATTTAACTGATTGTGAAGGTGAAACACCATTACATGCAGCAGTTACATCAGGGAATTCAGATATGGTTAAAGTAAGCTTAATATATATATATATATATATATATATATATATATATATATATATATATATATATATATATATATATATTGACTAGTTGCGTTATTACTGTATAGGATGGTTACTATCGGAATATATATCATCTTAGCTATTGTTGTATATATAAGCATCGACTGAAATTGCATTAGTGAATAATAGAATTAAGGAAGTCAAATATGAGAACGCATATCTTATCCAATCGTCGACCCAGACGAATGATCAAAGAAGCTTAGTGAAGAAAGACAAGAGAAGAAAGTGAAGCGGAATGACCTGGGCTGGAGAAGGAATTTAAACGAACTTGATTTAATCAAGTCAGACAAAGATAAGTTACATACATGTGACAGTCAAGATGAATAAGCGAATAAGTGACAGGGTAAAAATGTGACATCAGAAGAATGAGTAGATTAACCTTTCCAGATACTAGAACAACCTATGTGCGCTTGATATAGGGCCAGCCCCTGTAGTACAATGAAAGCAATTAAATAGAATTATGCTTTGAACTCTCCCTGTTTATAGCTCACTTGATACACTTGATACTTCTATATATGTAAAATATTAGTGCTTCCAGGTTTACCATGGTGGTTTAGTTTCAATTGAATCATGGATTCAACTATTGATGTCTTGAGTGAGTTGGAGAATGCTGGTAGTCGGCCTATCATCCGCTGGGAATGACAGGACTAAGTAAGGAAGTAAGTAAGTAAACTTGATACCTTCGATTTGTGGGAACTTTACTTGTTCTTCTTGTTTGTTTCTTTTCAATGGAAGGGGAGGGTATTGATAAATATGTTTCTTCTTTTTTTCTTTATATTATTATTAGTTTTGTTTAGAGCACAATGCATTTATATTAGCTAAACAAAATGATGATTCAACACCGGTACATTATGCATGTATGAAAGATGATTTAGAATGTGTTCAATTAATGTTTGAAGCAGATCCATCAATTAAATCAATCGTTTTACAAATGCAAGATAAAAATGGTTATACACCATTACATTTAGCCGCTGTTTATAATCATGAAAAACTTGTTACATATTTAGTTGAACAGGTATGTTATTTATAAAGAAAATGGGAAGTTGAGTTAATCTAAGCTAATCCATCATTGAAAACCTGAGCAGTACTCATCAATGATCATACCATGAGAGATTCGAACCCAAGACTTTCGGTCTCGCACACGAACGCTTAATATTTAGACAAGTGAGCCGGTCGGCGTCCAGTGGTGTTAATATCTAACTTCAACCAATCCATGAAATTGAGAGACTGACAACCACTATCTTTAATGAGTTACTATCTCACAATAAACCCGGTTGAACTCCACAGGTCACCGCTTCTCATTAAAATTCCAGGAAATACCTCTTAGAGACCAATCACTAGTGAGCATATGATGATTATTATCAGAAGGGGTTTTGTGGAGATTGTAGTAATTTTAATATGTGAATTCATTAGTCAAACTAAGCTAGACCACCATGGAAAACCTAGAAGCAGTGGACGGCCGTTTCATCTTAATATGAAAATCCTGAGCAGTGCGCATCCACGATCCTTATTTCTGATAAAAATCATGTGACTAGCTTCAGGAATTATTATCTGAAGTTCTAGTGAAAAGCCGTGACCTGTAGGATCCAATCTGTGTATAGTGGAGACAGGTATTCACTTCAAACAATGGATGAATGGTTGTGCATGATCGTGGATTGATTGAAGTCAGATATTAAAGTAGTTGGATGCTAGCTCAGTGTTCTAGAGGTTATGCATTCGTTCATGAGGTCGAATGTCCTGAAATCGAGTCCAAAGTGCGGGGTCGTGGATGCGCATCGATGAGGAATCTCCTACTCGCATGAAATGGCCATCCAGTGCTTCTGGGTTTTCACTGATGGTCTAGCTTAGGTCGACTCACAAATTTAACTACTTATGAAAAGTAAATAATTTATGTATATTTTACTCGTCATTATGGAATAATTCGTATCATTCAACATAATGAAATAATTTATCATGGATATAAGATTTTTCAGTCCCTCATTCGTTCCCTAACTGTAGACCTCTTATACTAAACTACACTAAATAACATAATTCCTTTCCGGTTTCTGATTATCAGTATCAATTTGCAATCACTGTCATCTCCCATATCTAAGTAAAATAGTAAATCAGAATATATTTTCAGACAGATATTTGTTGTTGTAAGTTTTCAAACGAGAGGATAATTCATGCTTTAACCAAGAGCTTATGAGAATGGTTGCTAGGTTTGAGGCGTCTACGAGTTCACTTAGTGAACAAAGACTCTGTGACCAAAGATCAATAAACTAGGTATTCTGATACGTCCCAACTCCGCTAGCTAGAGAGAGAAGTTCAAGTTCAAACAGAGAAATATATTCTGCAAGTAGCCAGAAGCACAAGCATTAACAACAGGCACAAATCAAACGTATATATATAAAGCACAAAATCGTCCTTGGAAAGAGTTACAAAATAGCATACTAAATGATACAATGGACCAATAGTGTTTAAGATTCTCCCAAGTGGGAAATATGACATGAAGGTGAAAAGAGCACTTTTGGCGTGAAAATAAAGAAATTCAAATTATCAAAATAAAATTACAAAATTAGGTCCTTTTCCAAGTGAGTTCTAGGGATCTATCATCCTCAACAATGATACTTACTAGCACTTCATAACACAAGACAGATAACGACATCTTTATGATTTTGTCTTAATATATGTATTCAAATCGAAGGATTATCCACAGAGACCATCTAGATTGGAATAATACAAAGGGTATAATTCATGAGTTCATATGTTAAAAGTGAATTGTATCCTTTTGAGTTGACAGTTCTCAAACTGATGAATCAATTTTTAAAAATGAATATCAGTAAGACTATACTTTATGGATGAACCAATCAGATATAAGGTAACGCATCTTGGATTTTGGCGCAAAATTCATTTGCTGATTTGGCTAAATAGCGTTTTGGCATTTTAACTGATATCAGTTCTTGATCAAAAAAATAAATCTAAATCATAACCATCAACTGTAAATCATAATTCTGGTTTATAATCCCCATTTGGTCCTAGTTAGTAGGTGAATATTCTCAAGATCACTGTGGAGTCGCTCAAAGGTCATCTATAAATTATAGTCTCACCATATTGTCTAAGTGTTTGCTCACTCAATCAAAAGAAGATCAAACATACATTGACGTATTGTAGAAAAAGATGAATACACAACCCTAGGTATTTGTCCCCAAAGAACAAATCTAAATCTTATTTTGACGACTTGAACTTTTATAAAATTTGTCAGTATGGTTTTTGATTTTACTAATCCATACTAGATGGTTCCGGAATCTGACAATAATGTGTACATATTCTATTTGATTGTCTCGTTTGTCTAATTTGGGTTTGAATCTCACAAGGGGGAATCGTGGATGTGCAGTGCTGAGGAGTTTAATATTAGGACGAAACGGCCCTCCAATGCTTCCAGGCTTTCTATGATGGTCTAGCTTCAATTGACTCATGAGTTGAACGATTTAATTTGTATTTGTTCTTCGAAACAGTACGACTCCAAAATGTTCTAATCAATCTTGGTATTTAACTATTATGATTTGAGTGAGAGACCAAAATTGATTTTTTTACTCTAAAGTTTACTTCTTTGTCCTATTACATCTTCATAATTAAAAAAATAGGGTTCACCTTTAGAAATGACTGAAACAAATGGATGGACACCATTATTATTAGCTGCTATGAAAGGAGCTTTTCAAACATGTATTCAATTACTTCGTCTTGGAGCAAATCCTAATGCACATGATTCTAGTAATCGTAATTTAGTTCATTTATTGATGTTATTTCAAGGTCCAGGAATCAGGACAGTCCTGCCAGAGGTGAATGATGTAAGTTAATGATTATATATATAATATATGCAATTTTATAGTTGAATTTATGAGTTAATTAAAGATAGACCACTATGGAAAACCTAGAATTACTGAATGGTCGTATCGTCCTAATATGGGACTCCTGAGCAATGTGTATCAATAACCCCGCTCTCGCGACTCCAATCCACGACCTTCAGCCCCGCGTGTTAAAGCTCATAAAGAATTTTGGTTGTATACTGATAATCAGTCTTAAACTGGGATAAAATAGCTTCTAAAGTTCTGTGGTTTTTATTACTTACTATATGGTGTATGCCGTTTATGTCAGGTGGAATGTTCTAGTTGGACTGGGTTGGCTGTATCAACTGCTGTTGACGGAGAGAAGTAGGGGAATATGTGGCTGCGGGGTAGGCATCAGAGGTAAATGGCTCAGCAGATTTCTGGAGACCAGGCGTTAGACGTCCCGAGTGCTGGGCAGATATCGGATTTAGATGGCTCGGTAGGTCTACATTGCTACGGAAGTTAGTGCGTGAGTGGACTCGACATTTTGACGGGTAGCGTGGCACAAACTTAAGGAAAGAGCAATGTGGCATGGCGAGCACAACAATTTCATGACCGACCGTTTAAAAGGGCGACCAGTGTGGTGTATGCTACTTATGTCTACAGACATAAGTAGTATGTAACACTAATCAGAAGTCAAATACCTGTTAGCAGAATGTTGAGAAGATCGAATTGATGAGAAAAAGAGTATAAACAGGGAGTAATTTCTAATAACAATGAAGGAACAATGAAACTTGGGACAATTAAAAGGTGATTTACAAATGAAGTATCTAATGTATAATTTTTCACCTATCAACTCTTTAATTCGTTGTCCTCACTTAAGTTTCATTCGTTTCAATTAGGTTCAATTTTAACATACAAATTGAATTACATAATAATTAAAGGATTAATATCTTAGATAAGATGAAATTGGATACCTCAGTATTAAATCTAATTCTTATTTAACTCTATACTTTTGTTAATTATTGAATAGGAGGAATTATTTAAACGATTAGTCAATGAAAAAGATAAATATGGTACAACACCATTACATTATTCAACAAAAATGGGTAATTTAGGTGCTACAATTGCATTTGTACTACGTGGTGCATCTGCATTAGAACGTGATAATGAACGTAATACATCATTACATACAGCTGCATATTATGGTCGTTTACATACATGTGAAAAATTATTAGCTACATCACATGGTATGAGAGCAATGAATTGTCCAGATGCTATTGGACGTTTACCACTTCATGTTGCAGTTGAACATGGACATATAGAAATTGTGAAAATGTTTATTGATCGAGGTTGTCTATTTCGAAAGTATGATTTTGATATATTTGATTTGTTATTTTGTTTAATATGGATTGCGGAGATTAGTTGTTGACAGTGGTTGATAATGTTGGATGTGAAAGTAGGGGAGAAACTTCTTACAAATTATAACCGATATATATAATCTTTTGTTGCTATATGTGAATCCTGTGCGGATTGCCTCGATAAAACCTTAAGTCACAAGCTTTTTAAGCAAACATGAATAGTGGCTAGTAATTGAATCCCGGACACGCGTTTCGTCCCATTCGGGATTCGTCAGCTGGGTGTACCTGAACCTTACAGTCGATTTTCACCCAGGGACTTGAAACCAGTACCATTTGCTTCAAACTCCATGACGTTATTCACTTAGCTACTGATTCCCTAATAGCCATTTGCTTGCAGAATAGGGCGAAGTTTAAATCCACTTGGTATTGTTTACTTGAATCTTCTCATTGTTGTTTAGGACTGTAATTGATCAGTTTCTTGCAGGCATATGTGCATCCTCTAAAGATTGCCTGATATTTTCATTTTGAGAAGCATTCTAAGGAAAGATAGATAGTGTTTAGTAGTGGAATCCGTGACACGTGTTTCGTCCCATTTGGGATTCGTCAGCTGGATGTTCCAAAATCTCAGAGTTGATGTTCACCCCCGGACTCGAAAGCAGTACCGTTTGCTTCAAACACCGTCGGGTTATCACTAAACCCCACTGAATATTGCGAGAATAAATATTACATAGCATGTAACCTAGATCAGTGTATGACATTTTTCAACCACTTAACAAAACGGTAAAATATACTGAACTGAAAACACTGATGATCATCACAATAGTGTAACCATTTCTTGTTACTAGTATAGTCCAAACATTTTGGATTGTATTTGCTTAATATACCGCATAGCTATGAAAAACTTCATCTTCTCATCATAATTAATGATATTAGTAAAGAAGTCATTTAAAATATGTTTGATTTAGTAATGCGCTAAGGTTACGCTCCATGATCTTGGATGAGTTTCTAGCTAATATCATTTTACGATGAATGCTATCAACAGGAATTGTTTAATCATGTTCAAAGGAAATCACAATGTCATCAGGTGAACTCGTCGCCGAATCCTCTGTTATTTCGTTTTATAATACGGATACTTAGAATTTGAAGTTGGTTTACAATCAGACATCTATAGCATACTAGGCAGAATAGAAATACATTTCATCTCTATCAAGAATCTTTTGTGCCTCTTTGTTATAGTAAGAAACCTCCCTGCTTACTTACGTTTGTTACACCTTACGGAGGAGCATTGGCCGCCCTCTAGCCATCCATCTCCATTCAACTCTGTCCTGGACAATCCTTTCCAGTTGCTACTTATCCTTTTCATGTCTGTTTTCGATTCCCAAAGAAGTGTATTATTTGACCTTCCTCTTTTCTGTTTCCCTTCAGGATTCAAAGTTAACTCTTGCTTCGTGATGCAGTTTAATGATTTTCGCAATGTTTGTCCACTCCAATTACACTATCTTTTCCTAATTTCCTCTTTAGCTGCAAACTGATTTGTTCTCTTCAACAGTAGATTGTTACTAATAGCATTGTTTATAAATGTTTGTATCTTCTTGATGATGGTTGCAGTAGTCCTCCACATTTCAGCTCTGTACAGTAGAACTGTCCTGAAAGAAATCTACCACCTCCCAGTATCTAAATAGTAAGGAGTGTTTGACAAAAACATCGTAAGTAGATCGGGGTACAGATCTAAACTATAGATATTGAAGTTCAACGAGTAATCAACTAAGTTCTTTATGGTAACTGTTCATAGTTTTCACTTAACTAACTAATAATAATATACTTCTTATTTCTTAATATCTCTATCAATAGATGCCATTTAGGTAATACACCATTACATTATGTTTCAATTGGTGGTTGTATAAAAATATGCAAATTATTATTACAATCAAGTCCATCTTTATTGAATCAAACAAATTTTCATGGAGTAAGTCTCTATAAAGTATTGGCATAAGAAGTTCATAGATTTTTTGCTGTAACACATCATAATGATAAGTTCGGATTCGTTTTAATCATTACAATGTTGATTCATTTGATGTTGTTCTACATGTATCTTCCCATTGTTATTTAGGATTTGCAATTGATTGGTCACTTGTTGACATATGGGAATCTTGTGTGGATTGCCTCGATATTGTCGTCAGTTACAAGTTTTTATAAGCAAAGATAGATTGTGGCTAACAATGGAATTCAGAACACAATTTTTGACGTGTTTTAGATTCGTCAGCTGGATGTACCTACATCACAGAGTTGATAACTACTTCATGACTCAAACCCAGTACCGTTCGCTTTAAACACCATCACATTATTCACTTAGCTACTGAATCCCTCATAGCCATCTGCTTGTGCAATAGGGTGAAGTTTCCACTGCTAGCCACTATCCATCTTTGCTTAAAAAGATTACGATATTCAGTTTATATTTTACAATGTGACATTATTTGAGGTCAATTTATATATATATATATATATATATATATATATATATATATATATATATATATATATATATATATAATCGATATTGTCATATTAAAATGTTTTTTTTTAAACATGACTCATTCAGTTCATCACTCGACAGGCATTCGAATATTTAATCGATAAGTTCATCATGTGACTTCCATTCAAATATTTAATCGATGAGTCAATCGATATGATAAAATTACAAATATGAATTTTGGGAATATACCATCCCAACACACCGAAATCGGCGAATGGAACGAGGTTTTCACAACACAATGACACTATAAGCTAACTATTCTAATACATCCCAGTTCCGTTAATCGAAGTTCAGAAGAGGGAAGGTATATTGTACAAGCAACCAGAAACATGAACAATGACAAGCTCAACTCAGGCGTATATATATACAGCATAAAAATATCATTACGAAACGCCACAAGATAGAATGTTAAAAGAGACAACAAACCAATGACATTCAGGGATCTTCCAAGTGGGAAATACAATCTGAAGGTGAAAATGGGTGCTTTCAGTGCGAAAATGAGAAGTCTATAATTTAGAATTTAAATGGATTAATTCGTATCTAAACTAATTTATTCTCATAGAATAATATTTTTATAAAGCAATATCTTAGTTTTCTTACGTAGGAATCTACCTGGAATTTAGTACTGTTGATCAGTTCTTTACAAGATATACATTTACTTACCTACCTATCTACCAACATACATACATACATACATACACTTACTTACTTACACCTTTTACTCTCAACGGTTCATAGGCCACCGACCAGCATTCCCAACCCACACTGTCATTGGCCTTCCTTTACAGTTCGATCCAACTGTTGTTCATTCTCATGTCTGTCTCCATTTCTCGGTGTCATGTGTTCTTTGGTATTCCTCTCCTCCTTTGACCTTGAGGATTTCATTTGAGAGCTTGTCTTGTGATGCAGTTGAGTGTTTTCCTGAATGTGTGTCCTATCCACTTCCACTGACTCTTCCCGATTTCTTCCTCCGATGGGATCTGGTTTGTTCTCTTCCATAGTAGGTTGTTGCTGATAGTGTCTGGTAAACGGATCAGAAGTATTTTACATAGACAACTGCTAATAAACACCTGTATCTTCTGGATGATAGCTTACGTAGTACTCCAAGTTTACGCATCATACAGTAGAACTTTCTTGACATTTGTATTGAAAATTCTGACCTTGGTGTTGGCCGACAGACAGTTGTTTTGAGTTCCAGATGTTCTTCAATTGTAAATATGCTGCTCTTGCTTTGCCGATCCGCGCTTTCACATTTGCATCATATCCACCGTGTTCATCAATGATGCTGCCCAAATATGTAAACGTTTGTACGTCCTTCAAAGCTTATCCATCAAATATGATTCAATTAGTGCATACTGTGGTTATATCAGAGAATCTTGCTTATACTTAATATGTTCCTATAATACTAATGTATAGTCCGTTTGTATAATGTTTTCACAAATCAAATTGATGTTCTTTCATTCGGAGCTACATAAAGATTTATGTCCATTATACTCCATTTCGAATTATTTCTCTTCATATTCTAACCTGAGATTATCTAATTGTTCTTTTAAGATGACCGCATTACATTATGCTGCCAAAGAGAACAATGCAGAAGTATTAGATTATTTATTGACATCAAAAGCAAAAATTTTACCTGATAAAGATGGTATATACTTTGTTACTTATGCTTTACAACGTAGAAATTATGAAACAATGAAAGCTATTGTTACACATTCACGGTTAGTGAATATTTTTTTTGTAACTAACTAGTGATCAGAATGAGAGTTTGTGAAAAATATAGTAGATTCAAGTTAGATCATCATTGAAAACCTGGAGGCACTATTGGACGGCTGTTAGATCCTAATGTGGGAACTCTTCAAGAGTATGAATACACGATCCAACCCCATGAGATTCGAATCCAAGACATATCAGTCTCTCATATGAACGCTTAACATCTAAATCACTAAACCGGTGTCCAATGGTGCTATAGTTTAACTTCAACCAATCCATGAAATTGAACAACTGACAACCATTATCTTTAGTGAGTTACTATGTCACAACAAACCCGGTTGAACTCCACTGGTCACTGCTTCTCATTTATTTATTTATTTATTTATTTCAACACATAGATAATGGTACAAAGAGGCACCAAATACATATGCGCCACACAAATCTCATTCGATATGTGTGAGGGCTGCGATACTGCCCGGGTGCCCAAACCGAAGCAGGTGGTTTTCTTAGGGGGCCACACCCCGAGCCTTCGACCTGAAGGTCTGATCCACAAGGCAGTGGAGCATCGTAAGGAGATGCAGTCCCATGGAAGCCGGTGACCAACAATTGGTTCATTCGCCATTTGTTCCCGCAGGATACTGGAGCCCATGTGCACCATTGGTTTGGAATCCGGTTAAAGCGCCGGACATTCGCTTTTCGTCCTCTCATTTTCGTAAACAACACCCCCGCCACGAGAAGGCAGTGAGTAGGACTTCCCTGGCAGAGGCTATATACGCGTGGCCGTGTGAGAGTATTTTGAGAGGGAGAGTGAACTCTCCCCACTCTCGGCCGTACCAGGGCATTTGGGGGCTGCTTCTCATTAGAATTCCAGGAAATACTTCTTGGAGAAAAATCACTAGTGAACATATGATGATTATTATCAGGATGGATGCATACTACTAAGGAGTCCTATAATAGGACGAAACGTTCATCCAGTGAATCCAGGTTTCCCATGGTGGTCTAGCTTTAATTGACTCATGAATTAAACTATAAAATCACTAAGATTTCAACAAACCCCCCTTCTAAAAATATGAAATTGTTTAAATTTTTACAAAACAAAACTCAAGTACAACAAAACACATTTGGTGTGAATATAAACTGTGGACAACCTTAGAGCGACGCCAAAGTGAATTTGGGAATGTCCACTTAATTACTAGAGCTAAATGATGGTTATAAAGCAGTGTAAAGAGTAAAGATTATAACTTACAGTTGATGGTTAGGGTTAAGAATTCGACTCATGGTTTTCATCATGAATCGACATAAACTAAAATACCAGAATGAATCTCACGCCAAAATCTAAGACCTGCCCTTTTAAATCTGATTGATTCATCCATAAATTATTGTCTTGTCAAATATTTTTCTTTCTTTTCTCATACTATTCACTAATCCAATAATAATAATAATAATAATAAGTATACTTCTTACATCATTCTTTATACAGTTGGCCAGAACTACATGGAATGTTAGACAATACATCTCAATGTCCAGTGGATGGATTTATTCGAAATATGCCATCAATGTGTAAAGTTAGTTCAAATATACTAAAGTGTTATATAGTAGTTAGGATATATTTGAATAAAATAATTCACTATTCTAATATTTTCATTTAGTTAGATCGTTTTCAAAGGTTTCTTATAGAGATTATGTATTTTTTTTTTTAGTGGATTTTTGTTCTCTGAGCTGGATGATTTGGTCGTGGAGCTTTCATCGTTCTTCTGAACGACATCATCAGCACAAACTTTTTATAGGAATCAAAATCAAACCAATGGGAGACACAACCAAAACAAAAAAGTAAACAATGATAAATTTAAGGTCAACAAGAACCAATCAACATCGAGGTGCACAGAACAAGCTGTGAAACACATATGGAGAAATTCGAACACTTCACTTCTATCTGAAGTTTGTGGTGATGATGTTGTTCAGAAGAACGATGAGAACTCCACGATCAAACCATCCAGCTCAGAGAACAAAATTCCACCAAAATCATCCACCTGAGCTACAAATCTTCTCCACCATCTCAGAGATTATGTATTCTAGAAGAAAGAAAAAAAACATGAATCTATCTCAGATCAATTTGATATAATTACATAAGCTAGTAGCTATCAGGACTCATTAGGTAAATGGATAACACGATAGTGTCTGAAGCGAACGGTACTGGATACAAGTCTCAAAGTGAACATCAAATCTGCTATTCAGGTACATCCAACTGACGAATCTTAAACACAATTGTATGAACGAAGAATATTCTTTTCAATAATTTCTCATCAGGTTCTACAATTATAAATCCAGATTAATAATCCATAAAATTGGCCAAATTAAATTTTCATTGTACTGTCGATATATGGATGATACATTTATCATTTGTAACGAGCATACGGACTTGATAAGAACACTCGAGCAATTCAATAGAGCTCACTCGTCCATAAAATTCACATGTGAGAAAGAAAATGGGGGTAAATTAGCCTTCCTAGATGTTCTGCTTACAAGGAGAAATGATGGATCGCTAAAAAGAAACATAAACAGGAAAATGACCTGGACGGGTCAATATACTAACTTTTTCAGTTTCGTTCCTCTACAACAAAAAAAGGAACCTTATCAAGACACTATATCATAGAATCAAGACTATATGCACTATGGATACGATTGAAGATGAAACTAAGACATTGTTTACAACCTTGAAAGAAAACGGATATCCAGAGAAATTTATAAATAAAAACTCAGCCAATAAAAGACAGCGTATAGAATACCCAACGGTAAATAGAAAGCCTCTATATATACGCTTACAATTCAGAGGTGACGCGCCGAGTGAAATGTTAAGACTCAAGTTAAGTAGATCAATTCAAAGGACTTTTAACGCAGCTAAACTACGACTAGTATTTTCCACACGACCAATAATCACTCCGAGGTTGAAAGATAAATTGCCTAGACTAGCCACCTCCTTCTGTATCTATCAATTCAACTGCTCCTGTGGAGCAAGTTATATTGGCAGATGTTCTAGGAATTTGTACATTCGGGCTCGTGAGCACCTACCCGTGTGGTTAAGCAAAGGTGTTGTCAAAACTGTTAACAGCTCAATCTTAGACCATTTAGTCCAAACAGGACATACAGCCAACATCGAGCAATCTTTTGCAATAGTTTACCGTGTCAACAGCAGTCTACCTAATTCCGTCAGACTGCGAATCCTACAGACGGCTGAAGCAATTGCTATTCGGATCAAAAAGCCAGAGCTTTGTATCCAAAAGAAGTATGTTCAGCCACTCCTTTTACCCTGGCCAACTAGCTAATAATCAATCTTAAAATATGGTGACGTAATCTGATTAATGTTCATTTTATGTCCCAAACTTATTATTATTATTATTATTATTATTGTCTTTACACTTGATAACCCCTTTTTGATGAATTTATTCAATATCCACCCCTGAATCGACTATATTTGACCTAATTATTTTACATATTACGCAATTTCCGATTTGTAATCACAATTTTCTCTCTCTCTCTCTCTCTCTCTTACCCCATGTTGACCATATTTATTCTGATCATGATTTATCTCACAATTTTATTTCACTTATAAACTGATTCAAGTTAACACTTCATATTAGTCAGCCCCAACATTAACAATTTTATTTTATATAACAAACAATTCCTGATTCAAATATTACAATTTCCAAATGATGATGTAATCTCTGCCCTTAAATCTGGCCAATTTTATGGATTATTAATCTGGATTTATAATTGTAGAACCTGATGAGAAATTCATTGAAAAGAATATTCTTCGTTCATATGAATTGTGTTTTTAATATAATGGGAATTTTTCAGCAATTAGAATCTTAAACAGGATGAAACGCGCGTCCTCCATTCCTCTGCTAGTTATCAACCATCTTTGCTTAGAATGCTTGATACTGAAGACAGTATCAAGGTATTCTCACAGGATCATCAAATTACAACTCAACAATTGACTCACAATGCAGTTTTCAAGAGCTGCTAAGATCATGCATCTTATCACCAACTGGATCTAGATTGTGTACTTCCATTAAGAGCTGAAACTAAAAAAAATTATTTAATGCTTGTCTGTTATGAAAGGTACTTTAAACCCGACCTTCGCTAGTGGTCAAGATCACTATCATGTATATCTTAACAACCTCCTTTAGATGAGGTAAACGGAATGAAGAAAAACTGGACAGTAGACTTCTTTTAATTAGTCTCAACTGCTAACTACAATTCATAGAGTAGAAGATGTTTATGACATCTATTCATGGATACGTTAAACTAATATAAGAAATCAGTATGTGTTTGTACAGATTATTAAGTTTTTGATTGAGATTATGAACCGAACAGTGTTAGATCATCACTAAAAAATTGGAAGCATTGGACGGCCGTTTCGTCCTATCGTGGGACTCCTCAGCAGTGTGCAAGGTTTCTCAGTAGAGCCGTGACCAGTGGAGCTAATCCATATCGAGTAGAGACAAGCATCTACCACAGTACAATGGGAGATGATGGCGCAAATTCGTGGATTGATTGGGGTTAGACATTAACGCCGTTGGAAACTGGCCAGCTCAGCGATCTAAATATTTAGTGTCAGCATGAGAGACCGAAGGTCCTGGATTTGAATCTCACTAATGGGATCATGAATGAACACTGTTGAGGAGTCCCATAACAGTACGAAATGGCCTTTCAGTGCGTCCAGGTTTTCAATGATGGTCAAACACCAATTGGTTTATGATTTCAAATAATATAAGAAAGTTTCTAAAAAGGTTTGATATTTTCTTCATTGTTTTTATGATAGCTTGTTTTGGATCAGTGCATTAAAGAAATTGGCACGAAAAATACTCTTGATCATGAAGTGAGTTAAATTGATACATTTTATTTTACTGTTTTTTTATTTGGAGGGGGCGGGAGTTAGCTTTTTTAAATACAACTTCTCCAGACGTTCTTTGGAAGTTACTCATTCTTCATGATAAGTACGGTAATAACTGCTTTACTATGTACTGTTATGGAAGTACTCTAATCAGTACGAAAGATTTAAGTATGGGTTTTTAGAGTTTATCAACATCCCATCTTTACGCTGAAAACTATCGTCATTGAATTAGTCTTATCTTTTATAGGTTTCTTTTCGGTCATTTTAAAAAAGATTTCTAAAGTTGATTGATTACTGGGTGGGGATCAATGTCATGTATGTCAGGTTCTTCTTAGTGCATATAGAATCCGTCAGGGAGCATCAATTCCCTCAAGATTACAGGTACACCTTGCTGATGAGTGCCAAGTAGCAAGAAACCTAGATCCAGAGTTTCCTGTTAAGTACCTTCAACCATCATCTCATCTCAACACAGTACATGCAATGTTGAGTCACCTAGACTAATAATGACATTGAAACTTGATCGATAGGATTCGATGTGCACTAAGAAGGACCTGGCATATATGACATTGATCACCACACAGTGATCGATCAATTGTAAATGAACTCTCCATCAGATATTTGAGCAACTCCTGAGCTTAAACTACATGGCATCTTCAATACAAAAGAAAAAGCACATAGTTCGAAAAAAACACGCTACTTTAAGATTATTTTATGTACAGAAAAATGAAGGTATTTATAGAGTTCACACAAGCCTGAGCTTCTGGAAATTTCTGAGATCATACTTAATCTAGTAGAAACACATGTAAATATCTAGTCGGAAACGTGATACATAACTCTTCACTTTTTAGATGTTTTTGAGAAGAGTCTATTCAGCGCCTATTAGATAGTATGGTGAGACTATAATTTATGGACGACCTTTGAGTGAATTCAAAGTGACCTCAAGAGTGTTCACCTAATAACTAGGACTAAATGAGGGTTATAAACCAGTGTGTGAGGAATTAGAATTATGATTTACAATTGATGATCAGGGTTAGAAATTACGTTTAGAATTTTCATCACGAACTGACATTAACTAAAATGCCAAAACTTTATTTAGTCAAATGGATGAGTGAATTTTGCGCCGAAATCCGAGACCTGTTATCTTATACTTGATTGGTTCATTCATAAATTATAATCTCGCCGATAGCATTTCCTATAGTTTTTTTTAAGAGGACTATGAATTTTTTCAAAGAATACTTTGGAACTTCCTAACAGTCGTCATCAATCATCATTTAACACAATATGAAATCAAATGGTTGAAACCAGTTGTCATGGAAACTCTGATTGATTTAACTTTTCATTTAGAACTATCTACAACTTAAAGTGAACCGATTCAAAGTTTGATTATAATGATTCATTTGAACTATTTACCAATCTAATAAATGTTTTCAAATTTCCCCTAAAGATAACACTTGAATACACTTGATACCTTTAAATTGTTTCATATTGTAGATATTCTATGACTTTTCAATACTTCAACGACCCATGAATCCTTGTGAAAAACCACCAAAGGATCCTATGAAACGTATCAAGGTAAATATAAAATTCTCAATGTATTATATTGTTTTACTTCTTCTTGTAAATAATGTTACCTATGGTTGTTGTTACATTTCATCTTAAAGGTTTAAGATGATCATTGTCGGACTGTAATATAATGGAATCGTTTATGATGTAGACAAAATGTAGATCCTACTTAAATCTTATGTGTTCGTGCTATTGACAACGTGAATATAAACGGTTGAATATATGAGTATGCTACGGTTGATTATATTTGATGCATTCAGTTTGGTAGACAAATGAAGAGGTGAGAAGAGTAGAAGGCATAAGTGTCTACTCAAAATACTATCCATTACAATCATTAATGTACATTTTAAATAGATTATGAATAGTTCTGAAGGGAGAAAGGTAAAGGATCAAATGATATGTGTATAAACACACAAATATATACACATGAGACGTATAACTGTAGGATTACAAGAGTACAATATAAATTAGTAATACAAATTGGTACAAAGGGGAACTGAATACATACGTACCTCACAAGTCATCCGATTTGTGTGTAGGGCAGGATACTGCCCAGGTGCCTAAACCAAAGCAGGTGGCTTTCACAAGGGGCCACACTCCAAGCCTTCGACCTAAAGATCTGATTCACAAGGTAGCGGAGCAAAGTCAGAAGGTGCAGTCACATGGTAAACGGTGACCAACAAGAAGTTCATGTCCCATTTATTTGCCCAGGACCCTGAATTCCATCTGCACCATTGGTTTGGAATGAGGGTTTTTTAACTCCCCTAGGTGGACTCTCTGTGTCTACTAACAAGGTCAAAGTGCCGGATATTCACTTTTCGTCCACCCAATTTCGTAAACAATACCCCTGCCACGAGAAGGTAGTGAGTAGGACTTTCATGGTAGTGGCTGTATACGCGTATCCATTTGAGAGTATTTGGAGAGAGAGAGCCGATTCTTCCCACCCTTAGTCGTACCAGGGCATTTGGGGCTATATGTAATGAAAATCACAATTTCATATAAAAAATAAAGTTATTTTTGGTTCAAAGAATCATGATCAATTGGAAATTAAACAGTTCTTACTCCACCGACCTTTTAATCACAGGGTAAAAATAACGTTTACGGTTCATGATCATTAAATCAATCTGGAGTGGATAGAAACCTTAAGTGAGTGAAACTTGTCTCTATATATCAACTTCATTGACTTTGTAGACAGGAGAGTATTATGGAAACTTCTTCGACACTATGGAGTTCCTTAGAAGATTTTCAACATTGTCCGAAACTCATACGACGGACTACAGTGCAAAGTTGTGCATGGAGGATGCTTGACAGATGTATTCCAAGTAAAGACTGGAGGCGGACAAGGCTGCCTACTCTCCCCCTTCCTCTTTCTTTTGATGGTCGACTGGATTATGAATACCTCGACATCTGAGGGAAAGCACGGCATACAAAGGACAGCTCAGAATCAATTAGACGATTTGGACTTCGCAGATGACCTAGCCATCCTATCCTATACACATGAACAAAAGCAGATGAAGACAAATAGTGTAGCAGAAACCTCTGCATCAGTGGACCACAACATACATAAAGGAAAAAGCAAGATGCTGAAACACAACACGGAGAACACACAATCAATCACACTGGATGGAAAAACTCTGGAAGATGTCGAATCTTTCACGTAACTGGGAAGCATCATTGATGAACTAGAAAGATCTGATGCATATGTAAATGCGAGGATTGGTAAAGCAAGGGCCGCATTACTACAGCTGAATAACATATGGAACTCAAAACAACTGTCAAAAAATATCAAAGTCACAATCTTCGATACGAATACCAAGACCGTTAGTTATATTGTAGAGAGCTGAAACGTGGAAAACTACTACAACAATCATCAAAATCGTACAAGTATTTATAAACAGTTGTTTACGCAGGATACTCAATATCCGTTGGCCGGATACTATCAGCAACAGCCTACAGTGGGAGGTAACAAACCAGCTTTCAGCTGTAGAATAGATTATGAAAAGTAATTGGAAGTGGATAGACATACATTACGGATGACATCAAACTGCATCATGAGGCAAGAGTTAATTTAGAATCTTGAAGGCAAACGGAAAATAAGAATACCAAAGAACATACTGCTTCAAGAATCGGAAGCACACATGAATAGGATGAATAGTAATTGGAAATACCTAGAAGGGTTTGCCCAGGACACAGCTTGATAGAGAATGTTGGTAAATGGCCTATGCTCCTCGATGAGGGGTAACAGGCGTAAGTAATATATATATATATATATATATATATATATATATATATATATATATATATATATATACATCACTATGGTCATAACTCGTCGCTGATAAATTGTTGAAACATTCTAATAACATACTTCTTATCGAAGTATGTGCTAAAAATATAAACGAAAAATACAATGGAAGCTTGCTGACCGAAATCTCCAGCACACAGTATAACACATCTTCCAAACCCTTATTCAATGCTACATATTCGTTGTTGCTAACAACATAAGTTACCATCAAACCACTTACATCTAAACTAACCGAGTGAGTGAGATACAGACTAATTATACTACTGTTAAGTAGTTAAGTGACTTAAACGTTCAACGACATTCGAATTCTTACCAAAGAGTAAAGATATCTTTTATCATTATCAATAATTATCGATCTATTCACTACAAAGGAAATAATCATTGAAGGGTAACTAAGTGTATAATAATGGATTAAATATTTTAAGCAAAAAGATAATGATTTCAAATTTCAATGTAAACATGTTATGTTTGAATTGATTACGAGTTCTAGTCGGAGAATGGAACAAAGACTCTGTGACCAAAGACCAATAAACTAGTTATTCCGATGCGTCCCAGTCTCACTAACTAGAGAGAGGAGTCCAAGTTCCAAATTGCGGAAATATATTCCACAAACAGCCAGAAGCACAAGCAACCACGACAGGCACAAATCAAACATATATGTACAACATAATATTGTCATTGGGAAACACTACAAGTTAGTATACTAAAAGACACAACGAACCAATAGCGTTTAGGATTCTTCCAAGTGGGAAATATGACATGAAGGTGAAAAGAGCGCTTTTGGCGCGTAAACAAAGAAATTCTAATTTTCAAACTAAAATTACTAAAATAAGATCTAGCATCTCCAACAAAACATCAACACTGAGGTACAGATACATTCAGCCTGATAAAGTAGATCCTAGATTTCATTCCTTTTCACTATCCAACTTTAACAAAAAATACAAAATTCATTTTTGTATTGTTTATTTGAATCTTTTTATTGGTGTTTAAGATTATAATTGATGAGTTTCTAATTGTACAAGCTATTGGCCATACGGACTTAGTAGCTAAGTGAATAACGTGATGGCGTTTGAAGCGAATGGTACCGGGTTTCAAGTCTCGGAGTGAACATCATATCTGAGATATAGGTAGATTCAGCTGATGAAACCTTAATGGGGCGAAATGTGTGTCATAAATTCCACTACTAGCCATCATACATATTTCTTTATAAAAAGTATAAAACTGTTTTCGGAAATATTATCAATTGTATAGTGCATATAGTTGTGTACATTCCATCATAATACATACATAATAATGTTTACTTTACTTTTCAGTTAATGGTCGAGTTGAAACGTGAAGAGTTATTAATTCATCCACTTTGTAAAGCATATTTAGAAAGAAAATGGTAATGATAATAACTATTATTTTTTCTTAAATATTGTTCCTTAATGAATATTTGAATCATTCTAATGTTTAAACGAATAGATTCTGTAATATTCACTGTTCTTTTTGATTGAGATCATGAACAGTTTGGTATTAGATCATCATTTAAAACCGGGAAACACTGAACGGCCTTATCGTTCTATTTTAGGACTCCTCAGCAGTGCACATCTACAATCCTGCCTCGCGAGATGCGAACCCAGGAGCTACCGATCTCGCTGACGAACATCTAACCTCTAGACCACTGAGTCGGGATCTAATGGTGTTAATGTCTAACTTCAACCAATCTACAAAATTGAGTGGTACATTCACCATTGTCTTCAGTGAGTTACTATCTCACAACAGAATTGGTTGAACTCTACTAGTCTCTGGTCCTGAGTTCTAGTCTCGCAAGTCAGGGCCATGTGTACGCACTGCTGAGGAGTCCCATATTAGGACGAAACGACTATCCAGTGCTTCGAGGTTTTCCATGATGATCTAGCTGCAATTGATCCATGATCTGAATCACTATAGTTACTATAATATCTACAAAACTCCTTCTAATCCTAATTTCATTATTATTGTTACATATGATTAACTTTGTTTAAAGGCAAACTTATGGACGTTGGGTTCAATTATGTGTAAGTGTTCATTATGCTGTTTTATTATTCGCAATTACTTGTTTGGTTTTGGGTCATAGTCCAATACGTCATGTAGAAAATATTGACAAAATATCAAGTTGTTCTGAACTGGTAAGTTAAATATAAAGTTTCATTTATACAAACTGTTTTATATTGAAAATGTACGACAGAGATGTTGATCTGAAGAATGTATATACATTATTTCTATGTTGTAAACAAAGTATACAGATGATTAAGTCAGATGCATTTTCATGTAAACAAAAGGCTTACAGTAAGATTTGTTGTGAACAAGGACACAGATGGGGACAACTGATTGTGTGTTTAGATTCATAGAGTTACAGAATCTCTTGGTAAACTATGAGAACTATACATTGATTACTTCATTTGGTACTTTTCATCATAAGTCCTTCACATTCTGTGTAATTCTTTCAAGTTATAGTTGATTCCTATTTCCGTTTTTTGTTTTCTTCAAGTTAACCTTTATAGCCTTCTGTTGCCGGATTTTCAAGTTCCGAATGGTGTTATATACTACTTATGTTTGTTAACATAACTAACATACACCACAGATTGATAGTGGATATCTTCCAGTTAAAAAAATATTTAAATCTGAGCTGAGTAAATTCGAGTAGTCACATTGAAAACTTATAAATAATATTACACTTTCACAACTGATTGGTTACAGTTATGCCACAAATACGAAATATCTATAAATTCACTTGATATTGTTTACTTGTATCTTCTCATTATTGTTTATGACTGCGATTGATCATTCTCTTATTGGTATATATGCATCCTGTATGGATTGCTTCGACGTTGTCTTCAGTCACAAGCATTATAAGTAAAGATGTATAGTGGTTAGCAATGGAATCCAAGACATGGGTTTCAAGTAAACAATACCAAGTGAATTTATACTTTATCACATTGCACAATCAAGTGGCTAATAGCACTCAGTAGCTAAGTGGATAAGGCGGTGGCGTTTGATGTGAATGGTATTGAATCCGAATCCTAGAGTGAACATCAACTGTGGGATGGAGATACATCCAACTAACGCGTCCTAAATAGAACTAAGTGCGTGTCCTGGATTTCACTATCCATCTTTTCTTAAAAGATATCTATGTCTGAAAAAACCCAAATAACCTAATATTATGTATTGGTAAGCAGAATAAATTGCACATGGATGTAAATCAATGATATAAGTATCGTCCAATGATCAAAACTTTAGCATTAACATTTACTGAGCGGCCTATGCTCCTCCAGAAGGGGTAACAGGCGTAAATAAGTAAGTAACTGACAGTTATTGTGTGATCGTTAGATTACAGTCTATTCAGTTCAACAAAATCCCATTATTATGCAATATGTAAAAAATGTTTATACAAATGAAAGATTTAAGATCCGAATGTTTCCTCTTTCAGAAGTGGTTTTGTAAAAATTTTAGTAATTTTATAGTCAAATTCATGAGTCAATTTAAGCTAAACTCCCATGGAAAACCTGGAAGTACTGGACGACCATTTCGTCCTAGTATGGGACTCCTCAGCAGTGTGTATCCACGAGTCCTGAGTTCGAGTTTCGTGGTGTTAATGCCTAACTTCAACAAATCTATGAAATTGAGTGATACATCCATTATTGTCTTCAGTGAGTTACTATCTCATAACATACCCGGTTGAACTCTATTGGTCACTGGTCCTGAGTTCTAATCTCACGAGTTGGTATCATGGATGTGAATTGCTGAAGAGTCCCACACTACGACGAAACGGCTATTCAGTACTTCCAGATCTTTCATGATGATCTAGCTTCAGTTGAATCTTGATCTCAACTATTAACGTAATTATTAAATGTTTATCCTTTTTATAATGTTTTCTGCACAATTTAGTTTTATGAAACACCAACAAGAATGTATATATTTTCAACGATTGCAGCAATTATCTTAGTTCTAACAGTATTAGATTTAAATATTAAAATATGGCAATTATTAACTCAGGTAATTTCTATATTCTATTCATGAATAACTGAATAGATTAATCTGATACATTTCAGTTTAAAGATTAAACATTGTTTGAATAACAATTCAAAGGAAAGTAACATTCAGTGGTTGTTTTATATCCGTTTTGGAATTTCTTCCCCATATACCACTTTAGATTATCATATAGTTACATTACTTTGAAAACAGTTTCAATAACGGGTTGATTAGTAAACATCAGTCTCTCTTATTAGAATATGTGTATTTTGTGCGGATTGCGTCAATACTGCCTTAGTTCACAAGCATTGTAAGCAAAGAGCATCAACTCTGGAATGTAGGCACATTCATCTGACGAGTCACAAATGAGACGAAACGCGTGTCCTGGAATCCACTGCTGGCAACCATTAACTTTTGCCTATGAAGTATGAAGTAGCTTTAATCTTATGGTTTAAGGTAAGACGAAGAGTGTATAGACCACCATTGTGATCGATTCTGATCAATGTCACACAGAGTCTCCAACAATTGGTTACGATAGTCATGAGGACCCCAACCAAGTAGTATGAATCTACCGATAAGGGTCAGACTAGATGTTAGTGACTTCAAGCATTGATGCCACGTTTTGGTTTGGCCAGCCCTAACTTTCTTCCATCCGTCTCCAACACCATTCAGCAATGAGCGTCGTGGTAATCGATGTTCAGGAATATGTTACACGTGGCCCAACAATCTCAGTCGATAAAGATTTAAAATTTCATCAACTGATTTATCATCATTCCCTAGTACTCTGCGTCTAACCTCATTATTACATATCCCGTGATCCCAGCAGATGCGAGGAATATTTCTAAGACATCTGATTAACTTCTACTCTTGATGGACATGTTTCGCAGCCGTAAAGTAGAATAGAACCAACTGTCACTCAGTATATTTGTCCTTTTATTGATATACGGATATCTCGTCTTCGCCATAGGTGACGTTAGGTGGCAAAAGCCAAACGAGCTTTTTGAATCCGTGTAATGATTTCACCAGACAACAACCCATAAGGGTTGGTCAGACTTCCAAGATAAGTGGAGTTGTGAACGCGGTTAGCTACTTTACTCCCTATCCTCAGTTCAGATGTTGACGCAGGTCAGTCATGAAGCAATAACTTGCAATTAGACAGGAAGAAACTCATACCAAACATCCTGGGATTGTTTTTTAGTGCTACTAAAAGACTCTACATTTTATTAGCGTCTTCACCAAATAGGACTATGTCATTTGTGTATTCTAAGTCGGTAAGTGGTAACGTAATGACTTAATTGAGTTGTTGGTGTATAATTTTCTTTAGAGTTCTGAAATAAAACATAATTTGTTTGTTCGGTTTACAAATTAGGGTTAATTGTAATCACAATTGATTGATCACTGGGTGATGATCAATGTCATGATTGTCTAGTCCTTATTAGTGCAGATCAAATGCTATCGATCATGTTGCAATGTGACCACCAGTCTAGGTGACTAGACACTGCGGGCACTATGTATTGACTACCTCTAACCACCATCTATGGTTAATTGTTTTCATCATGAACTAACATCAACTATGATGCGATACTTTGTCATCTATCTGTTTACATACTTGGAAAACAAAATGTTGATATTTAGAATAAGCGTTAGAGTGTAAGAACACCGTCTAACTTCATTAAGCACTCATAACTACTCATTGAATCCTATCACATATTAGAATACACAATCGTTTAGTTAATTACGTTATACATCACTGTACTTTAAATCCCGCTCAAAATACATCAAGCATCATCTTATTTCTGATTGGTTAAATCAAGATCGTGAGTATACTATACTTTATTCATAATTTTCCCACAAGTGAATATGAGACAAATGGATACTGATTAGTTTGTTAATAATCAATTATAATAATACTTTAGAAAGTTTCATTCACCATAAAAGTCATATACAATACAATTAATAGACATTAGCGAGGTTATTTTCTATAGGATGAGGTTGTTCATCTCTTGCATAACCCTCCAACTTTACACAAACTTGACACTGGCCAGACAAGGCTGTTTACTCTCTCCCTTCCTCTTTCTTCTGGTGGTCGACTGGATTATGAAGACCTCGACATCTGAAGGAAAACACGGAATTCAATGGGCAGCTCGAAATCAATTAGACGATTTGGACTTCGCAGATGACCTAGCCCTCCTATCACGTACACACGAACAGATGCAGATGAAGACAGCCAGTGTAGCAGCAGTCTCTGCATCAATAGGCCTCAGCATACACAAAGGGAAAACCAAAGTCCTCGAATTCAAAGCGGAAAACAACAATCCAATCACTCTTGATGGCGAAACTCTGGAAAATGTAGAATCCTTCACATACCCAGGAAGCATTATCGATGAACAAGGAGGTTCAGATGCAGACGTAAAGGCAAGGATTGGCAAAGCAAGGACAGCATTCCTACAGTTAAAGAACATATGGAACTCAAAACAACTTTCAACCAATATCAAAGTGAGAATCTTCAATACCAACGTCAAGGCAGTTCTACTGTATGGAGCTGAAACTTGGAGAATTACAACAACCACCATCAAGAAGGTACAAGTATTTATAAATAGCTGTCTTCGCAAGATACTCAACATCCATTTGCCGGATACCATCATCAATAGCCTTCTGTGGGAGAGAACAAACCTACTTCCAGCTGAAGACGAAATTAGGAAAAGACGATGGAAATGGATAGGACATACATTACGCAAATCGTCAAACTGCATCACGAAGCAAGCCCTAATTTGGAATCCTGAAGGGAAGCGAAAAAGAGGAAGGCCAAAGAACACATTGCGTCGGATAATAGAAGCAGATATGAAAACGATGAATTACAACTGAACGGAGCCGGAAAGGATTGCCCAGGACAGGGTTGGATGGAGAATGCTGGTGAGCGGCCTATGCTCCTTCACGAGGAGTAACAGGTATAAGTAAGTAAGTAAGTAAGCAAGGTTGTTTTCTATAGGATGAGGTTGTTCATCTCTTACCTAACCCTCCACCTTTACCCAAACTTGACACTAGCCAGTAACTCTAAAAGACCAACAGACAGAGTATACTAAAAGTGATGATAAAAACATTTCATGTACCTAAATTATTAGTTGTTCTGATTGTTAGAAGGGTCATCAACCTCGTGACTTCTAAAAGAACTTGGCTTTCATTATGCAGCGTCATAATTCTTCTAAATGAATGCCTTCTAACTCCTAGAACAAAGTTTAAATGGTTTGAATGATTCTTTTTTTGGTTAATGATTTTTTTTAGCGAGTTTGGTAGTCACTCACCTCACGCATAACCCCCCTTCTTTATCCAAGCTTGTGATTGATAGTAGTTTCACGGAAGGAGGTGACGTTCCAGACGGAATTACTAGGACTGGTCATTTTATAAACTTTCTAATTTATTTCATATTCATTTACTATAATCTATAAACCATTCATGAAATCAATCGGCAAGACTCTAATTTATGGACGACCTTTAAACGAATCTTAAGTGACCGTGAGAAATATTACCTAATCAGTAAACAGTAGGTACAGAGTAAAAATATGTTATACAAAACCAAATAATTAAAATGGATACACTTCTTATACGTGGTTCAAAAACTTGTCAAGGTTAGAAAGAGGTTTAGAGGTTCTAAAATGATAATGCATTCAGTAGAGGAAATCATCCATACGACTACAGAATAGTCGACCTCTGGAGCATGATAAAGTCTCATAAACTCTTTCAACCTCGACCACATAGCTTCAATATTGTTTAGGTGTACTCCGGTTGTTGAGTACACAAAATGCCACTTGTGGTTAACGACACGATACACATAACCAAGCCTATGTAGGAGTGTGTATGCTCTCCAAACATCCGTATATATTGTAGTACCCGGCTGCAGCCAGTGTTACTGGTGCTTTTATTATTCAGTTCACAATAATTTGCCTTAGTTAGGAATGATATATGGGGTTTTCATCACAAACTGATATCAGCTATAATGCCTGGAGTTTTTTTAACCAAAAGGATGGAAGGCTTTCGCTTTAAAAATCGTGATCTATTATCTTATACTTGATTGATTCGTTCACAAATTATAATCTCGCTGTTTCATTTGTTATAGTTGCTCGATTATGGCATTTTATACAAAATTCCTTGTGAACCAATCATACGTTAGTTAGCATTAAGCATCGAAGTTGGCGCCATAACCTTGAAATCTCTAAAACGCCTCTGATTGGCTCGTCCATAAATTACAATCTCACCAATCAATCAATCATTTATTCAATTACTAATCGATATATTTAAATCGATAAATGTTTTTCCTATTTTTTTTCATTCTTTTTTCTTCTTTTTTTTCTTTTTCATATAGAAATATGAATATTTTAAAGATTGGAATAATTATTTAGAATTTTTATTAAATTCATTAGCAATGACTTATTCAATATTAACAATAAAGAATCATTTAAATCATCATTATATTGAATTAGGTGTAGTTGTAATGTTTTTAGCATGGTTTAATTTTCTATTACAAATGATGAGGTAAATAAATTTATTTTATCATTTCAAGTTTATTGATGTAAATTTATTCTAATTAAAAAGGATAGATTCAGTTAGTTAAGTTTTACTAGTAAATCGTAGGTTAGATCAACAACACTAGAACTTGAATATGAGAGAGAGAGAAAGAGATTGAGTTAGTGAGTGAGTGAGTGAGTGAGTGAGTGAGTGAGTGAGGAGAGGTGTCAAACATGAAAGAGATGATTTACTTCAAAGATTTGTTTATTGTTACAGCCCAAAGCCGCTAATCAGAAGCAGCGAATTAATGATCGGACCAAGGACGCGTAAAACACATACGAGCAGTCTAGAGTCCTGATTAGTCTTGCTTCCTGTCTAGCCCAACCAGTTAAGTCCAGAACACTAGTGTCACCCTCTGCAATATAAATCATGTCTATCAAACATATTCTGTTTATATACAAACCAAACACACCACATCGTACCAATAATATAGGAAACAACATTTGTACACGATTTAGCTAAATGTGGCTGTGAATGACGGAGGTAGTAATTGATTGACAGGGCATAATTCAAGAATGCTAAGTCGTATAATAATAGTTCATAGATCAAAATAAAGCTTATAATAAGAGGAATATGATTACACGCATAGTATTGGTTCATAAATGGGTCCCTAAAGCGACCATTCATTATGTTTCTCAGGATCCAACATTTATGTACAGAAAAATGAGGGTTTAGGCTAAACTATAATTTATGAATGAGTCAATTAGAAACATTTGATAGATTTCAAAATCATGGCACCCATTCCAATACATGATGCTTCAATACAAACGGAGGATTTTAAAGAAAATGTAGTAACTAAGCGGTAACAACATAGGAGATTCTTAATAAGTTTCATTTATTTGTGATGATAGTAGTCAAATGACTGGTGAACCTTTTTGTAGACTACCATGATGATATATGTTAGAGGAAAAAGCTTGTTAGAATAGAAACTTTTTTCACTCGATCCAGATTGAGACTAAGACAAACTGGATAATAAAAGCACCAGTAACAGTGGCCACAGAAAGGTACTACAATAATATAAAGATAACTGGACGGCGTACAGATGTCTACATAGAATTGGGTTATGTGCATTATGTCATTATCCACAAGTGGCATTTTGTGTACTCAACAACCTGAGTGCATACAAAAAACTTTGAAGCTATATAGTTGAGGCTGAAAGGAGTTTTTGCGACTTTATCATGACTCCAGAGACCGACTATTCTGTAACCGTATGGATGATCTCCTCCACCGTATGCCTTATCATTTTGGAACCTCTGAACCTCTTTCTAACCTTGACAAGTTTTGGAACCATGTAAAAGAAGTGTATCCATTTTAATTATTTGGTTTTGTATAGTAAATTTTTACTCTATACTTACTGTTTTCTGATTGACTAGTATTTATCAAGGTCACTTAAGGGTCGTTCAGAGGTCATTCATAAACTATAGTCCCGCCAGAGTTTTTAAAGCATTTTAAATAGCCCTGGGCTTCCGGGAAATTTTGGAATGCTACTAAACATAGTATCAGGATAAGTAATTATCCAATCAGAAATGTGACAGATAATTTTTCACTTTCTAGATGTTTCTGGTAAAAACTTCTATTGAACGCTGATTGGATAAGATGCTTCTCAGTGTTTTTAAGCCTTTGCAGGGGGGATGCTTTTCGAGAGAAATTTTCTGAATCTTCCCAACAGTTTCTATTTTGATCACTATCAGTAGGTGTTTCAATGATCTTGATGTTGACAATATTTATTGAATTTTTCTCAACTTTCGTTGTCATATGTGAATACAGTCCAAATGGTATTGTTATAGACATTTTGGTATCGAATTTTATAAAATAGAAAGATTGGAGAGTATTAATGAGATTAATTCATTCCTTGAAATATTTAACCATTTACAAGTCAAATTCAAATCTCACGAGTGGGATCGTGAATACGCACTGTTGAGGAGTCCCACAATAGGACGACACGCCTGTCCAGTGCTTCCAGGTTTTCAATAGTGGTCTAACATCAATCGGTTCATGATCTCAATTAAAAGCATAATAATCTTTATAACTCTTATACTGATAATTCCCGTGTGCTCAGTAGTGAATAGCTTCGTGAGGGAACTCTTGGAATTTTAGAGAGAAGCCGTGACCAGTGAAGCTAATCTGTGTTGGGTAGAGACAGGTATCTACCTCAGTACAATAGAAGATGGTCGCACAATTTCGTGGATTGGTTGAGGTTAGACATTGACACCATCTAATTCCGGCCGCCTCAGTGGTCTAAAGGTTAAGCCCTCGCGCGCCCAACCGAAGGTCCTGGGTTTGAATCCCGCGAACGAGATGATAGATGCGCGCCACTGAGGAGTTCCACACTAGGACGAAACAGTCGAGTAGTGCTTCCAGGCTTTTCATGGTAGTCTACCTTTAATTGACCCGTGAATTCAACTATTAAATTAGAATGTATTTATTTTCAACTTAATAGCTACTCTGAAATCTAGGCTTTCTTGTTATTTTATGTATTTTGCGCAGATTTAAACATGTTGGAATATTTGTAGTCATGTTTTTGCATGTATTTGCAACTGTTGGAAAGTGTTTAGTTGTATTCTCTGTGGTGTTTATTGCATTCGCACTGTCATTTCATGTTTTGTTTCGAGCTCCCAGTTATTCAGTAAGTTTACTTCTTAAACTATAAACACTGTAGTTCTTGATATACATTGTGTCTTTGAATATTCTGATCATGTGTTGTATCTTGTGGCCTGTTAACTATATAGCGATACGATCGCCAATTGGAGAACAGTAACTTATCGACCGGATCAATGACACATAAACTTATACGAGCATTCTAGAGTCCTTGAGATAGTAGCTTATCTTCTAACCTAGCCGATACAGTTCCGAACGCCTATTTCAGTCTCCGTTATATTGAATCAGATATTTCAAACTTGTTATGCTTTTAGCATATACGATTATCGTGAAATACGATTGCCAATTTAGATAAGCTGACTTATACGACCAGACTAATGACGTATATACCTGTACGAACAATCTGTAGTTCCCATTGATCCTTTTGCTGCCTATTAAATCCATAACGTCAATCTCAGACTCCGTTATATCGAATCATATATTTCAAACATAATTTATATACAAGCGAAACCGGACCACATCACACTACAAATAGAAGGTTATATTGGTACAAGATTAAGCCCTAAAGTGGGTTTGATTGTGAGAGACTGTAACTAATAAATTGAGAATAACTTAAGAATAGTAGATTATATAATTGTAGTTCATAGGTCAAATAGAAGCTTATAATAAATGAAATATGAATATAAATATAATAGAGTCACTTAACAGTTATACAATAAGAACATACATATCATATTAGTCTATAAGTACTTTCTAACGGTTTCTATTCACTTATTCTTCGTCCAGATATAACATAAAGAAATTATGTAGACTAGTTTAGTTTACATATCTGTTCATTCACTGTTAGAATTGTCTATTATACCGCTTGATATTGGATTAAGTCAATGAATTCATCATTGAATAATAAGTAACTTATATTACTTGATCAATTTGTATTACACAACTTTTCAGAAGTGCACATCTACAATCTCATCTCGTAGGATTATTACCGAGGACATATGCTTCACCTCTAGAAGCGATGACTAGTGGAGTTCAACCAGGTCTATTGTGAATTAGTAACTCATTGAAGACAATGTTGAATGATGTTGTAAAACCGTGGAAATTGGTTAAAGTTAAACGTTAACACCGTCTAGAGGTTAAGCAATCATGTGAAAGATTAATAAGTTTAGATGGTGGTTGGAGGTAGTCAACAGGAAACCCTGAACCCGGGTTTCGTGCTACTTGGCACTCGTCAGCAAGGTGCACCTGTAATCTTGAGGAAACTGGTGCTCCCTGGCGGATTCGATCTCGTGTCAGCCAGCTTCGCAGTCAGAGACGTTACCACTGAGCTATCCGAGTCGTGACTAACCTCCTGTAGGACTGAGATGTAATTACAATTAGATTCGAATTCTACTGGGTAGAATCGTAAAATGCATACAACTGAATGAGTTCCACAATAGAACAAAATGCCCATCTAGTCCTTCCAAGTTTTTAATGATAGTCTAGTTCATTTATTGACTTATGATCTCAACACTCCTTCTCCTCCTCCCAACTCTCTAATTATAATTATATAATAGTTTTCATTGAATATTGATTTTATATTCTATTTATTGAACATATCTAATTCATCTTCCAAATTATTGATTTTTAGGACACATTAACATCCTCCTCCTCCTCCTCCTCTTCATCAATGAATCAATCAATAATCAATAATTGTTTTCCAATAATTCATAATAATGATTTGAATAATAAAACAAATTTATCAATATCATTAGAATTGAAACCATTTCAATATTTAAGTTTATCATTATTTAAAACATTAATGATGATGTTAGGTGAATATGAGCATACATCAACTATTATAGAACCTTATATAGGAAATCATTCATTTCAATTACATTATCCATTAATAACATTTTTTTTCTATACAACATTTGTATTTCTTGTACCAATTATATTAATGAATTTATTAGTAAGTTAATTATTTATATGAATGTACTATGAATATCAACTTTAAGTTTAACAATGAATTTTTTCCGACAAATAGATGGGGTAGCAATGGGATCATCTCTAGGCCCAATCCTTGTTAATATTTTTTTCTAACCAAACTAGAAAATGAACCGCTTAAAGACATCCTAAATAAGCTTGATTATTACTGTCGATACATAGATGATACATTAATCATATGTGACGAAAATATCGATAAACAGGAGATGTTAGACAGTTTCAATAATGTCCACCCAGCCATTAAATTCACCAGCGAGGAGGAAAAGAATAATAGCATAGCTTTTCTAGATGTTCGACTCTCTAGAAGGATAGATGGTTCCATAAAGCGAAATATGTTTAGAAAGTGTACATGGACGGGTCAGTATACCCATTTCCAAAGCTTTACACCTCTGCTATATAAAATAAATTTGGTTAAGTGTCTCAACCACAGAATCAAGGTATTATGTTCTGAAGACAGTGTGGAGGAAGAAATAGTTATACTAAAGAACACATTACGTAATAATGGCTATCCGGATAATTTCGTCAAAAAATACCTCGTACAAAGTATTAAAAAGAGAAGACATTGCGACACGGTCAGTAAAAAGACCTTATATCTGAAACTTGACTTTAAAGGCGACATAGCGGGTGATATTCTAACACGTTGACTCAAAAGATCTGTCGAGAGGACGTTTCATGCCGCCAAGTTACACATAACTTTCTCGACTAAACCAGTACTCACACAACTAATCAAGGATAAGTTACCGAAGATGGGCTCCTCCATGTGTCTATACCAATTCAACTGCTCCTGTGGAGTTAGTTACATAGGCCGTACTCAGAGGGCTTTATCCTTGCGTGTTCGTGAACATGTACCAGCATGGTTGGGTAAAGGAGTCACCAAATCGATTAAAAGCACCATTCTTTCTCACTTGGTAGATAGTGAACATCATATTAAAATAGAGGAAGCTTTCTCTGTTTTATATCAAGTTCCAAAATATCTACCTCAAGGAGCTAGATTACGACTGCTTTACACAGCCGAAGCCATCTGGATCAACTCCAGAAGACCTAATTTATGCATCCAGAAGAAATATATCCAGCCTCTGTGTTTACCCTGGCCTACGACTGGATCACCAAATACCTAGACTGAATATTATAAACCTCTTACCCCTCCCTTCCTTCCTTCATTTTTATTTATTTTTCCTTATTATCATTATTTGTCATTATCTATATCTTAATCTTCATATCCATCATTCCCAATTTGTTGATCGTAATTACCTTGATAACAACCCCCCCTTATTACATATTATATTCACACAACAATATTATTATTATTATCTCAGTTGACAAAATTATTTTCAATTTTGCAATAGTACTATTACATTATCTTATTGTGACTGAACAGTTTACTGACCTTTATTGAATGACTTTTCTAATTTGCAAATATTACAATAATATCTATATCATTTATATGAATGATCTTTTAATAACCATATTATGAATATAAAGTTGAATTATATAAGAATTATTTAAGAATTTAAATGTTAAATGATGGTTGGAGATAGTCGACAAGAAACTTTGGACCCGGGTTTTGTGCTACTTGACACTTGTCAGCAAGGTATATCGGTAATCTTGAGGGAATTGGTGCTGCTTGACGGATTCGATCTTGTGTCACACAGTTTCATTAATATGGACTAGACACACATGATATTGATCACCACGCAGTGATCAATCAATTGGGATTACATCTCAGTCCTACAGGAGGTCGGTCGCGGCTCCGATAGCTTAGTGGTAACGTCTCTGACTGTGAAGCTGGGTGACATGAGATCGAATCCGTCAGGGAGCACCAGTTCCCTCAAGATTACGGGTACACCTTGCTGACGAGTGCCAAGTAGCACGAAACCCGGGTTCAGGGTTTCCTGTTGAGTACCTCCAACCACCATCTAAATCTCAATATATAGTGTCCGCAGTGTCGAGTCACCTAGACTGGTGGGCACATTGCAACATGATCGATAGCATTCGATCTGTACTAATAAGGACTAGACAAGCATGACATTGATCACCACTCAGTGATCAATCAATTAAGAATTCAAATGTAGAATTGTTGGTAAATACTTTGGTACAGTCGAGGATGAGATGAGTCAACCATCTTGCTCGCCAAATACTTGCATAAGAACAACCATTATCAGAGACGTTCTACTTACTGCCTTCTCATCACAAGAGTGTTGTTTATGAAAGTGGAAGGACAAAATGCGAATGTTTGTTGCTTTAACAGGGTTGGTGAAGACGAAAGATCCACCTAAAAGGAAGTTGGGTATATGGGTTCCAGGATCCTGAGCGAACAAATGGTGTATGAACCCATTGTTGGTCATCAGCTACTATGGAATTGACTTATGGGTCAGAGCTTTAGGTCAAAAGCTCCTAGTATGGCACTCTAAGAAAACCACCTACTTCGGTTTGGGTTTACTTACTTACTTATTTACACCTGTTACTCCCAATGAAGCATACACCACCGATCAGCATTATCCAACACACTCTGTCCTGGACCTTCCTTTCTAGTTCGATCTAATTGTTTTTCATTCTTCTCGTGTCTGTCACCATTTGTCGGAGTAATGTGTTCTTTGATCTTCCTCTCCTCATTCGACCTTGAGGGTTCTATGTGAGGGCTTGCCTTGTGATGTAGTTGAGTGCTTTCCTTAATGTGTGTCCTATCCACTTCCAGTGCTTCTTCCTAATTTATTCCTCTTCTGGAATCTGGTTGTATCAAAAGAATCTTGCTTTACCTTTTATATATATTGAGATCTATTGATGTTGATACTGCTGCTGTTTCCCTGATTGTCTTCTCCTTGTATTTGTTGTTGCGTTTATAGTAGAAGAGTCAGATCATCTGCAAAGTCTAGATCGTCTTAGGCAATATCCTATCTCTCACATAACTTGAATTCCAATCAAAATATCAATAATGAAATGATCCAGATCATTGAAAATCACATTAAACCTGCTAAGATTGACTATAGAAACTCATATTCTCAATAACATTCAATGATATGCATATGCTATATATATATATATATATATATATATGTACAGATTGAAATCATGAGTCAGTTGAAGCTAGACCACCATTGAAAACCTGGAAGCACTGGACGGCCGTTTCGTCCTAGTGTGGGACTCCTCAGCAGTGCGCATCCACGATCCCGCACCACCCGGGGCTCGAACCCAGAACCTACTGGCTCCGCGTGCGAGCACTTAACCATTAGACCACTGAGTCGGCATCCAACGGTGTTAATGTCTAACTTCAACCAATTCAAGAAGTTGCGCTACCGTACACCATTGTCTTCAGTGAGTTCCTATCTCACAACAGACCTGGTTGAACTCCACTGGTATATATATATATATATATATATATATATATATATATATATATATATATATATATATATATATATGATAGTCTATGATAATATTAATCAATGGATTATATTGTTTATTCTTCAGATTGGTTTAGCTGTTGGTGATATTGAAAATGTTCGAAGAAGTGCTGTACAACATTTAATTTCTCAACAAGTTTATTGGTTAGCTGATTTAGAACCAAAATTAACTGGAATATTTCGTTCTAAATTATATCAATCAAATTGGATGAAAAAAACTAAATTAAATAAAACGACAGTAAGTAAAATGAAGAAGTGTGTTTTTGTTTGTTTTTTTCTTCCTTTTTTGATGGATATTAATAATAATTGAGATTATGAATCAATTGATGTTAGACTATGATTGAAAATCTGGAATCATTGGATGGTTGTGTTTGGTTCTATTGTGAGACTCTTCAGCGGTGTGCATTCATGATCTTCACTTGAGAGATTCGAATCCAACACCTATTGATTAATGTTTACATCATTTTGTGATCAGTTCACATAATTCTATTCAATGATTTGTCAAAAGAATCTATGTGGAACTTCACTCAACTATTAACCATCACAAAATAACACTAAATTATTCAATAATCTATACTATAATATTAGATTAGATTAACAAAAGATTTTTTCTTCTATGCATACGAATTGAAGGAGATTTTGTGAAGATTTTAGTAGTTTAATAGTTGAATTCATGACCGCTATTAAAAACCTAAAATCATTGCGCGGTCATTTCGTCTTAGTATGTGACTCTTCAGCAGTACATATTCACAACCTCGCTCGTGGGATTCGTACCTTGGACCGATAGGTTTTGGGTTCATATCTCATGAGTTTAATTATTGAACTAAATTTGCTTATATTTATAGACCAACAAAATATTCATTTCTTTTGATAGACACATGTAACCGATCTTTTTCTTAATACTTCAACTATTTCACTGTTTCTTTAAGTAGATAAGTGGTACAGCACAAATTACGTAACACTCAGAAACGGAGAGCACATTTTAGTCAGGGATGGATTTTGTGCAGATTTTAGTAATTTAATAGTTTCATTGATCAGTCAATTGAGCCTAGACCACCATGGGAAACCTAGAAGCATTGAAAGACTGTGTTGTTCTAGTATGGGACTCCTGAACAGTGCGTATCCACGATCCCTCTTGCGAGATCCAAACCCAGGACCTTTGGTTTCGTGTGCTATCTCTTAACATCTAGACCACCTAACTGGCTGGCATCCAACAGTGTTAATGTCTAACCTCAACCAATCTACGAAATTGTGAGACCATCTTCCATTGTACTGAGATAGATACCTATTTCTACCCGACATGGATTAGCTCAACTAATCATGGCTTCTCACTAGCACTCCAAGAATTCCTTCATGAAACTAGTCACCAGTGTACACATAGTAACTATCAGTATGAGATTATGGAGATTTTTTTTAAAAATTAAAACTATTTGTTTTTATTTTTTTATAGGGATTCTTAGATAAATCTGGATTTGAAATGACATATGAAGAAAATCTAATACAAAAGTATCTTAAAGAAGCAGTTAAAAAGTGAGAAAAACAATTAGCAACTATCACTATGAATGTTAAATATCTTTACTTACTTAAGCCTCTTATCCTTTACAGCTTTAGTCGGAACCAGTGTTCATTTGAAATCCATTAATGAACTGCTCTTTATGCATAACTATGGGATTCAGTCACTTGTAGGAATTTTTTTAATGGTATTGACCATCTTCCTCGGTACACCATAATGTCGAAAAAGATTCCACAAGGTTTTTTATTCACTCTGTTGAATACTGTCCAGTAATCAAGCAAGTTGATATATTGTGAGAAGTTTTATTCAGTTTCTTGTTCAACAATGGTAGTTTATGTCGCAGTTTGGAGAGGATAAGGTTAATCTTCAATGCTTCAGCTGATGTGGTGTCTGATTTAAATGGATCAATATTTTTATCTATTGGTCTTGCTAATTTCCTCTATTGTCGATGAGGTGCCATCTGTGAGCTAATATACTCTAGTTTATTCAAGAATTCTTCAAAGCTCTTTAACCACCAGTTCTTCTGCTTTTGAATCTAAGTGACTGGTTTCTTTTCTTTGATCCTGACTGGTTACTCTGATCTATTACATTTACCTGTTGGCTTCTTGGTTTTATAATGCAGTTCCTTAACGTTCCCTTCTCTTACAGAGTGTTCTGCTATAGTTGCCAAATCTATATATTTATGCTGGTCGTCTTCGATGCTCCTCCCCGCTCGTTAATTTTATTCTGTATATTCGGTCTGTAGGTTGACCGTCTCTTCTCTTATTCGGCTGTTGTTAACTGCTGTCTTGTTTCCTAATTCTGTTTTAAATCTTGAACAGAATATCGACAGAAACCCATTCTTTTTGTTGATGTTTCTCTGGACTCAGTTCTTCTTGATATACAGAAATGTTTACTTCGTTAATTTACTTCCATTTGTTCTTCATAGCGATTTCCTCCTCTTCTAGTAGGTTCTGCATGACTTGAAACTATCTTGAAGTCTCTGAGCTTTTTAATATCTAGAAGATAGGTTACATTAAACTTTTGTAGTGCTACTTGTTCAAATATGCGATCCTTCTTTCGCCTAAATTTTACCTTATCGACCATCAATAGATGATGAAGCTATATCACCTCTCTTCGTTTTTTGTCACGTTTCGTATGAATCATTTGGGTTTGTTATTTGGGTAGATGCTGTCAACCTAGTTTTCCATGGTGTCTTGTGAAACTTGCTTAACCATGACTATGTTAAAGAAAGTAGATAGATATTATGGTAGTCTCACATCATACTCGTTTCTTACTCCGAGTCATTGTCAAACCAGGATTTTGTTATCATCTTTGCAGCTACCCATGGTTGGTGAGTAGCACTGGGTGACATTCATTATAATCCTATCATTTCTTGTTTTGAACTGTGCCCTGATAACCCATACAATAAGCACTTTTTGTACTTCTTTGGATAGCAACAGTGAAATTTCTTGTGTATGTAAGAGATTTTATTCTCTGTGATGATAATACAATAACATCTATCTTGAAGTTGTTCTTTTCTATCCAGATTGTGTCTAAAGAGTTTCATTTAATCCAGAGAGCCAAGGTTGTATTTTCTTATTTCTACTACAATTAGAGTGATCGTCCCGGTCAGCTATGTTGTCAAGACATTCTATGTATCTATAATAATTGGTTCTTTAGTTATCAGAAGGAGGATTGGTTTCGTGACACGAATCATCTAGACTTTCATCATAAGGCGTTATAACTGTTATATGTAGGGACCCTTCAAATAGTAGGCGATAGTTTAAATGGCTTAAATAATGTGCACAGGTTAGTGTGTTTTAACCAGGTTCTTTTTTACGAAGTGGGATTGCTAAACATAAACTCAATCTTTCTACTTAGGACCAGATGTAATTGTATATGGACTCCGGGAGGCATTATTATACTTACAATAAAATACCTTTACAATATTCGGTCAAATTAACCTTACTAAGTAATCTGATATTAATCATCTTATTGTTTATGTGCTCAAATCACGTCTAATTGTATTTCTAATTAATTCGGCGTTACATGTAAAGTGTAAGTGGTTGTTTGCAATTCCAAATATAGCTCTTAACAATGTTTTTGATAAACAATAATATTATTTATATTAGCTCCCTTCATTATAAAAACCCCACCTGGGACCCCTCTGGGGCTACTGCCGGTGCCAAACCCGGATACAGGAGGAGGGTGTTGGGGATGTTAGATCCCCAGAAATCACTTAGAAAAGGTCCCAATTTTGTAATTTTATTTTGAAATTTTTGATTTCTTTGTTTACGCGCCAAAAGCGCTCATTTTCACCTTCATATCTTATTTTCCACTTGGGAGAATCTTAAATGCTATTGGTCCGTTGTGTCTTTTAGTATGCTACTTAGTAACGCTTCCCAAGGATGGTTTCGTGCTGTACATATACGTTTGATTTGTGCCTGTCGTGGTTCCTCGTCCTTCTGGCTACTTTCAGAATATATTTCCCCATTTCGAACTTAGACTTCTCTCTCTAGTTAGCGGGGCTGGGATGCATCAAACAACTAGCTTATTGGTTTTTGTTCACCGAGTCTTTGTTCCATTCGCAGTCTAAGTGAACTCGTAACCGCTTCAAACCTAATAGAGGTTTCGACATTTGTTTAGCGATTTCATCCTGTGGAAAACAAACTCGCTAAAAAACGCTAACCAGAAAAAATAATTCAAACCACTTAAAGTCTGCTTTGGAAGTTAGAAGAATTTCATTTAGAAGATTTTTGACGCCTCATGATGGAAGCTGAGTTACTCTGGAAGTCACAAGGTTAATGACCCTTCTGACATTTAGAGCAACCATTAATTTAGGTACATATAGTCCTCGTACAATGTGGAATACCGAGAGAGTCATCCAAATTGCTGAAGAAATGAAAAGATGCAACTTGAAGGCGCTTGGAATCAGTGGAAATCATCATTATAAAAGTTATTTGATAGACATTTGTCTTCTATTCAATATCATCCGTAGACATCTACTATTCTAAAGTTAATCAGGCTTCTGATCATCTTTTCGTAAATCTATGACATCTTACAATGAAATCAATAAAATGAGTTAAGTGTTTTGCTTTTTAATTACATAACCTCCCTAGAGTGAATCAAAGCAATTTGTTTACCATGTGTAACTGAGAAAAAAAATAAAAGTGTTTCGTCTCAGAAATAGTTTAATCCCGAAATTGTAACAGGAATTTAGTTCAAATTTAGTGAAATGACTTTGACATAAGAACTTTTACTTCTAAAGAATACTCGGTTAATGAAATTCTTCAACAGAAAAAAACAAGGATAAGGCCACTCAAAATTATATGAATATTAAATCAGGGGATAGTTTTGCTATAATTATCAGAAATAAAGGATGAATTATTTTTGACGGTTAGACAAAACAGTTGTGACACAAAACGGAGTAGTTTCTGCAACCTTCAAAGCTCATTAATATCTGTTACATGAATACACTACTTTTTAGTTAATAAGTAGTATAAATTAATCATGTAAAATATCAGCAAAGAAGCGTTTCTTGACAAAATTAAAAGATATTTCTGAAATAATCATAATGTTTATTGCTCAAAAATAAGTTTTAATATCTTAATATAAGCAAATCCTGATCGTCTGAAACCAATATTTTTCATTATATTTAAGTGATATTAAACTATTTATATTTTCAGGCAACAAATACTTTATATAGAAGAGTTTAAATAATGACGAAGAGGATGACATCAAATTGTCCAACTGATATATGTATAATATTGATCGGTTGTTATCAGACAAGAAATCAGGTTCTTAATATTTGAGATCGTTCGTTTCCAAGTTAAGATGGTACTAAGCCACTTAATGCCCTGTTACGAGCAAGGGTAGGGAGAGTCAACTCTCCCATTCCAAATGCTTCCACATCAACATGCGTATACAACCACTATTAGAGAACTCTTACTCACTGCCTTCTGGCGTCAATACCATTCTTTACGTAATTGAGAGGATGAAAAGCAAATGTCCGTCGCTTTAACCGGGTTAGTAGGCACGGAGCATCCACCAAGGGCAGTTAGAAAACCCTCATTTCAAACCAATTTTGTACATGGACTCCAGAATCCTGAAGGAACAAATGTTGTATGAATCAATTGCTGGTTACCGCCTACCATGAGACTGCATCTCCTGACATTGCTCCAATACTTTGTGGATTAGACCTTTAAGTTGAAGTCTTAGAGACTGGCTCACTAAGAAATATTTGTATATTTCTTACCAAGTGAATAAGGAATAGATCGAACTGTGTCAAATAAATAAGCAAATCAGAATTTTCCAGTAACTAATTAGTCTAATATAGAAATTTACGGTAAACATGCTTTTCCCCACTCAGTTATATGTGACTTTCGTTGATATGGACACATCTCTTCTTTTGTAACTATGAATAACTATTTGATCATATTCATTATAATAGAGATTGTTATTTCTATGTATAAAATTTCAGAATAACTTCTATTGACAAAGAAACTAAATTACAAACCACTAGAATGGCTGCAATCATTGAAAAGTTAGAAATTCGATCAAAAGAATTCAGTATTGATGAAGGTGTCTATCCAAGAGTAAGTATATTCTACTGTTTCCTTGGTTTCTGTATGTATGTATGTATGTATGTATGTATGTATGTATGTATGTATGTATGTATGTATGTATGTATGTATGTATGTATGTATGTATGTATGTATGTATGTATGTATGTATGTATGTATATTATCATTCTGTATGAATTTCAGTCAATAACTCAAGTATCAAACACTCATGAACTGTACACTACAGTTTATTTACTTTTCATCTTTTAATTATCAAACTGAAGAGTCCCATAGCAGGACGAAACTACCGTCCAGTGCTTCCAAAGTTTTCCATAGTGGTCTAGCTTCGTGATTTAAACTATTAAATTATCAAATTGTTTAATATTTAGTATGACCCATTTCTTAGAACATTTAAATAGTCATGTCAACAGTAGACAAATAATGTTGTAGTGAACAAGAATACGTAATTGCGGATAATCGAATGTATTTGAACACACAAATTACAAAATCCCTTAGTCAAATCTAAGAATTATGCAATGAATGCTTTATTTGAAAAATGTCAATCAATCATATCAGACTTCATTGTTCTTTCGAATGATGATACATACTACTTATGTCTTTCGATTTCAGTAGCACACATCACAAGTAATTTTCAGCTAAGAAGTGACGAAGTTGAATATCATAAGCCGAGACTGTGAATGTGTTACATTGGTTTTGGTCATTCCATTCTTACAGTTAGTTGACAACTTATCCGTTCTCCTAAATCTTTATAGAAGACTTAGTTTAGGGATTTTATTCAATCATCCAGCTCATATACCTACGATGATCACTCTTATATAGAATTATGACATTTAATTCTTCATATGATTCAGCCTATATTGAATCTCTATCAGATATAGGTTGTCTAATAAGACATCAGTAAAATCTTTAAAGAGATTTAATGCATCACAATAACAATAAGTGTGTGTTATCTACATCTGATTAGTTTCAATAAACCATTGTCTAGTTTCTCATAGTTTGGTTATTATTACATCCTTAGCTTATACGATTATCGTAAAATACGATTGTTGATTTAGATAAGCTCACTTATACGATCAAATTAATGATACATACACTTGTACGAACAGTCTAGAGTTCCCAACTCTAATCTCAGTCACCGGTATATCGAATCATATATTCCAAACATACATAATTTACAGATTGAAATCATGAGTCATTTGGAGCTAGACCACCATTGGAAACCTGGAAGCACTGGACGGCCGTTTCATCCTAGTATGGGACTCCTCAGCAGTGCGCATCCGCCATCCCGCACTACGCTGGGCTCGAACCCAGGACCTACTGGCTTCGCGCGCGAGCACTTAACCACTAGACCACTGAGCCGGCATCCAACGGTGTTAATGTCTAACTTTAACCAATCCACGAAGTTGCGCCACCGTACACCATTGTCTTCAGTGAGTTCCTATCTCACAACAGACCTGGTTGAACTTCACTGGTAACGGCTTCCCACTAGAACTTCGGGAGTTTTTCCTGAAGTCAGTCACTAGTGAGCAGTTGATTATTATCAGAAGGGGTTTGTGGAGATTTTAGAAATTTTCACAGATTTAAATCATGAGTCAGTTGAAGCTAGACCACCATTGAAAACCTGGGAACACTGGACAGCCGTCCAGTGGTCTAGCTTCAACTGACTCATGATTTCAATCTGTGAAATTTCTAAAATCTCCACAAAACCCATTCTGTTTTCAAAATTATTAGATAACCATTATTACAAGTTTTATTGATTCTATTTTTGATTGTTACTAAGAGAACAATTATCATCATTTTACAGTTCCTCATTAGACAATGATTACATAACTTCCTTTCAATATCTAATTTTCGTAAACAATTCATGACTAGATACCAATTCAAGTTTGTAAATATTCAACATTATTCTATTTTACTGATTAAATTCATGAGTCAATTGAAGCTAGACCATCATGAAAAACCTAGAAGTACTGGATGACCGTTTCGTCCAAGTATGAGACTCTTCAGCAATGCTCATCCATGTTCTCGCCTCACAAGATTCTATTTTACCATAGAATATTCTTTTAACAAATAGAATTAACTATAAATATAATTGTATAGATTAAGTAGGCGAAATCATTGAAAAGAAAATGTTCTTCACTAAATTGCCTTTTTATCTTTTATAGCAATTGTAGTGAACTAGAACGTAATTGAGGACAATCGAATATGTTTGAATACAAAATGACAATCAATTGTATCCTACTTGACTGTATTTTTCTTTTGTAAATACCAGTCCATCGTTTCATACTTCATTGTTCTTCCATTTCTATACCGATGTCTTTCTATTCCCATTCTTTCCTCTTTGATCTTAACATTCTACTATTAAATATTCTATTTGTGATTAATGTTATATACTACTGATGTTAATCATAAGTAGCACACATCATAATATAACAGTTAAATCTTTATTCATTTAACTAGATCAATCGTTTTATATGTAACAAATAGTCATTGATGTTTAGAGTCTTGCCTTATCTGAAATCAACCATTCAATAGTTGATAATTATAAAGTCTATTTAGATTTTATTGTTTATTTCTATATTTCTATTTTCAATTGTAAAGGGGGTTTCTGGTTCGGATCCAAACATGGAAATGGATTATGCAACAAATCTCAATTAATCAATTTATTGATGAGTAAACAAAAGAATGGGACGAAATGAAGATGAATAAAACAAAAAAAGTCCGATCTGATTTCAACATTTAGAAGTTCCTATTGTCTTATACATTTGAAATGAACGATTTCATTAAATGAATATTTTACTTGTTTTAATATAATTTACAATGTCATTATAGCACAGTGTTTGAATAACTTTTTCTGGTTAGCGTTTTTTTAGCGAGTTAGTTTTCTAAGGGATAGGGATGCTAACCCCATGCCGAACCCTCCTCCTTTATCTGGGCTTGGGACCGGCATTAGCCCCCGGAGGGACTACAGGCGGAGTCGGTAAAGCAAGAGCAGCATATTTACAACTGAGGAACATCTGGAACTCAAAACAAGTGTCAAACAACACCAAGGTCAGCATTTTCAATACAAATGTCAAAACAGTTCTACTGTATGGGGCGGAAACCTGGAGAACTACGAAAGCAATCATCCAGAAAATACAGGTGCTTATTAACAGTTGTCTACGCAAAATACTTCAGATCCGTTGGCCGGACACTATTAGCAACAACGAACTGTGGGAAAGAACAAACCATATCCTAGCGGAGGGAGAAATCAGGAAGAAGCGCTGCAAGTGGATAGGACACACATTCAGGAAAGCACCCAATTGCGTCACAAGGCAAGCCTTCACATGGAATCCTCAAGGCCAAAGGAGGAGAGGAATACCAAAGAACACATTACACCAGGAAATGGAAATAGACATGAGAAAAATGAACAAGGATCGGATCGAACCAGAAAAGAAGGCCCAGGATTGAGTGAGTGGGTTGGAGAATACTGGTCGGCGGACTATGCTCTATTAGGAGTAACAGGCGTAAGTAAGTAAGTAATACCATAATGTTGAACTTCATTGAAATCAGGAATCCATCCAAATTAGATTTAAGTTGTGAGCAAGATCAAGCGTCTGGACTTTCAATTCTTTAGTTGTGTAGGCTATGGTTGTATATTGTTTTTAACAGCCTTATATAAGAACTAAACGATAATCTAATGCTTTAAGGATTTTAACTTAGACTGATTTATGATTTCGATGAAGCTGTTATAACTTATGGCCTATGTGCCCCGTTAATAGATAACGTAATGATACTACTGATTAGAGAGCATTGAATTATCGATCGAACCAATGATGCATTAAAACAAGTACGAATAGTATAGAGTCGTTATCGGTCCTGCCTAACTCTGTCTGTTGAGTTCAGAACACAAATCTCGGCCTCTGCAATGTGAATCATTCATTTCAAGAACACTGGGTTTATATACCAATCAGGCAGACCATATCGTGTCATAAAATAGGAAACAACATTTGTACAAGAATTAGCCAAATGTGACTGTGAATGAGGAAGGTAATAATAAGAGGAACACGAATATGAATAGTTTAGTTATTTAACAACTCTACATATACAATTGGTTCATAAATGGATCCCAAAAGTTACCATTCATTATGCTTATTGGAATATAACAGATGTATATAATAATTCAATCAAATTGAGTTGTTTTTTGGTTGAGATCATGAATCAATTGATGTTAGACCACCGTTGGAAACCTGGAAGCACTGGACGGCCGTTTCGTCCTAGTATGGGAGACAGGTATCTACCTCAGTACAATGGAAGTTGGTCGCGCAATTTCGTGGATTGGTTGATGTTAGACACTAACACCATTGGATGCCGGCTCAGTGGTCTAATGGTTAAGTGCTCAGGCGCGAAACCAGTAGGTCCTGGGTTCGAATCCCGCTCGCAGGATCGTGGATGCGCACTGCTGAGGAGTCCCATACTAGGACGAAACGGCCGTCCAGTGCTTCCAGGTTTCCAACGGTGGTCTAACATCAATCGATTCATGATCTCAACCAAAAACTTAACAATCTCCACAACCTCAATACTGATAAATTGAGTTGTGTTTTTCTTAGCGAAATTGAGCTTATTCTACCTTCTTTGCTTCCCTTTTATCAATGGTATACACTTTCATATCAATAGTAATGATGATCAGGTTATCAAGTAAAGATCAAACAAGCTCAATAGATGAAACATTGGTTTTTCATTGAAATTTCAATCACTGAGATTATTTCAAAGCTTTAGCAACAATTGAAGTTTGTACATGTTAATAGTGATGATTGAAATTGAAACCAGTGAACAATTAGTTTCGTTAACCCATAAGTTTATAACTTGTATTGTGACATGACTAAGGTTTCTTATTCATTCATTTAATCAGTCAGTCACTAACTCTGTAAGCAAATTGTGTACATTATAAGCTAAGATGGATAGTGTCTAGTAGTAGAATACAGGATTCGCGTTTTGTTCTAGTTGGGACACCTCTCTGGGACTCTGGGACTCGAACCAATTACCGTTTGATTCAAACGTCGTCACGTTATCCACATAGTTAAATTATAACACTTGTAACTTATAACAATATCGAGGAAATCCGTACAGTACGCACATATATCAATAAGTAACTGATCAATTGTAATACTAAACATCAATGGGAAGATTCATGTAAAACGATATTAAGTGAATTTCAACTCTATCACATTACACAAGCAGGTGGCTATCAGGACTCAGTAGATAAGTGGATAACACGATGGCTTTTGAAGCTAGGAGTACTGGGTTTGAGTCCAAGAGTGAACATCGACTGTAAGATGCAGATAAATTCAACTAATGCGTTCCAAATATTCATATTTGCTTATATAGTAATTGACAGTTTTAAGAATTTGATAATTGTATCCATAGTCAGAATATACTACTTAAATGTTAGTTGACTTAACACTATATGTATTTGATATAATAGCATCAATGCTTGTATCTAATGTAATGTAATATCTTTAATTCTCCAACTAACATTCACTAGCTTGTATGATTGTTTAACGGATCAAATCTATTTCTGAAGAAGTTGACAAGTCAAACTAGTACTTAAAGTCAAACAGAACTTTTGATGTCTCCTCTATAGTATACAGTAGAACTTCAGAAAAGATCTAATATGATGTTGTAACTAGATGCTTGTAATTCGTTTTATATATAACCGAAGAGTATTAACGAAGTAAAGTTGAATTGTATAACTGATTGAAATGTCAAGTCATCACTGGGTATTGTCATCTTAAGAGGAGTGGAGTACAAAGATCCCTTATTCATATAGATGTATCGAAATGTTACAGATCAATTGTTGTTCCCCGAAATCAATACATCATCATTGACATAACTACAAAAACAACCATACATAATGATCAACATAAAGATTGAACAGTGTTTTTCAATCAATGACACCATCTTCAAGCGATATGTCATGTTTATATTGTGATACTGATTAATAAATCATATTAATAAGCTGACTTATTTTATTAAAGATTATTCAACGTTTATCAGATGATCATTGTCTCAATGTAGAATGAAAGAATATGCCACACAAATCATTTGGTTTATGTGTGTGTAAGCTGTGATACTGATCAAGAGCCCAGATCGTAGTTGGTGGTTATATTAGGCCACATCTATAGCCTTTGACCTTAAGATCTGATCCACAAGATAGTGAAGCAACGTCAGGAGATTCAGTCTCAGGCTAGCCGATGAAAATGAATATAGACTCATTCACCATTTGTTTGCTCAGGATCCTGAAGCCCAACCCCGTTAATGTGTCGGAAATTCGCTTTTCATTCTCTCAACGACACCCTTGCTGCGAGAAGTCAGTGAGTAGGAGTTTCCTGGTAGTGACTGTATGCGTATGACCACGTGAGAGCATTTGGAGAGGGAGAGTGCACTCTCCACACTCTCGACCGTATCGGGGCATTTGGAAGCTTATCTGATTAGCAAAACAATACTGATCGTTGTTTGGTTTATTACTTAGAACATAATACGTAACGAAAGATGTAGGTGTTTAACCCAACTGTCGAATGACAATATTAAGCTATTCAACTATTACAAGAATTGTCACATGAAATCTTCCTAGAAAAGAAGACACTTCATCATCGAAATCGATTAATCCAGTTCACATTCTATGTGCTTCTATTCTGACTTACATCACAACATCTCAGATATACGCAATAAATAGACAATAATCGTATAAACAAATCACCCTTCATTGTTCAACTCAAGAACAATCCTTTACATCTTTATAATTTAAAAGAAAACTTAATTCAGAAAATAACTACTTTATTGATTATATAAAGATAAGACAAAAGAACAAAAGAAGAATGAACCATGAATCATTAGTAATAATTGTCATGGTAACATGAGTATCGGTTCACGGTAGACAATGATCATATCAACTTAATGAATTAATTTGTGTACAATTGAGATCATAAGAGAAAGCTGGTTTCCATGGACAACAAGTTCCAAAAATGAAAATGATGTAAGAATATAAAAATGAAACAAAAATGAAATCACATTAAATAATCCATAGTAACAAGTCACCATCATGATCATGATCACATAGAGAAGAATATGAATTCAATTTGACCAGATCAAGCACTCAATTGAAGAGAATAGAAAGTACCGTTTGTGAAATGAAAACGATTAAAACATACCCAAAATATATGGATTTATTGATTTATGTATGATGATAGAGATTGTGTTTACAAAGGTGATCATGATTCACACACACACACATGGTGGAATCAAATGACATCACCTTATTATTGCACATTACGCCTTCAATAATGATAATAATAATAAGACTAGTGGAATAGATCAGTTAAGATTGTTCATCCATTAAATGATCCGATGATTGTTTGTATGAATCCCAAATCCTCAATTTGGATGAATCTCATTTCATTCTACATTCATTCCATCCTAGAAGCCAACTTGTGTATTTCCCCATACTGAACATCACATCGAGTGATGTTTATCATTCGACTTCCCTCATTTGGGATTGACCAAATGGATTGTTTAAATAATCTTTTTAGACTGATCAATAATCAATTACCTTGTAGAATATGAATGATTGGTCTATTCATTCTTCTCTCTCTTTCATATATAACCTACAATATTGAATA